TTTTTTTTTTCTAAAATTTATTTAGCACTTTGTTTTAAACATACAAATAATTTTTAACGAACTTATTTTTTAAATTTTCTTTCTATACTGTTAGGTAAACATATTGATAAATTTCAATTTTATTTATTTTTTTATTATTTATCTTTAAATTAAGAAATCTTTATTTGTGTGATCATTTTTAGAAAATGTAACAAAACTTGCATTTACTTTTTCATTTAGAAATTGAACATTACGATCGAACTTAATAATTATGTAATTAATTATGCATAATAGTACAAGAAAATATTAATTTGCAAAAAAAAGTTTTTAACACTTTGTTTTAAGCGTATTATGAATTTCTAAACAAACATTTCAATAAATATTTTAAGTAAGATTTGCACATTGCAGTCAATTTATTTAATATCTTTCTTAAGCAAAACATATATATCTTCAAATTTATAAATTGATTTAAATCAATCTGAATATGGAGTTTTGATAGAAATATGACTTTCTGTGCCTTACAAGTAAATGAAATTCAAAAATACTATATCGCGATACATCGCTATATCGCGATGAAAAACTGACGTTGCATCACGATATATAATTTCTAATATCGTCCAGTCCTAGTCCTGTTCTTCCCAGATCACACTATACATACTTGTTTGCTAGTACAAGTATAATTTGTATTTTCCCCTTCTTATAGATAAATAGTATGCAAAAAAAAATTGTAAATAAAAAAAAAGTATGGTAAAAAAACATTAAATAAAAATTAAAAACAAAAATAAAATGTTTTTACAAAAAACATTTTACACTGGTTTTTGTGACGCACAATGCGCAAAGAATAGGACATATTCATTTCATTTATATATTATCAAGAGTTGTTGCCCATCAAAGTTTGCGAAAAAATTTTAAATCAACCCCTATAGGTCAAATCTAATAGTAAGATTAATAAATGTAATCTAACATCGATATTTAAAGAATACAGGTTATTAAAGTCAAATAAAATTAAATTTTTTAATGATTATTTTGCATTTCATAAACAAATCTGACAGAAATTAATATTTTTATTACCTTATCTTTTTTTATTATAATCTTTTCACTCTATTTTAATCCATAGAATTCATAACCTAGATCATTCTTGTCCTAGCAATGTATATATATACAAATTTTGCTTATAATTAAAATAAAACTTCCATGATTGGCTTACTAAAACGATTCGTTCTGTTGTATTGTAAACCATTTAAAGAACGTTAAATTTTAAAACAAAAAAAAACGATACTTTTTATGATTTTTAACAAAGATATTTTGAAGTCATGTTTTATTTTAATGTGTTTTTAATGCACAAAAACTAATTTTAAGATTATAGTTTACAATTTCCATACTAAAATTTAAGGTTGCATGAAATAATCTTTTCTCTCCCTTTCCTTTTCATAAAGGTTTATTACCTTCATGTATAAATCAGGATTTCTTAACATTTTAAATGTGGGGACCCTATGAGCATTGCGCAAATCCAACAAACGCTTAAGACAATTAGCTTCTTCACTTGACTATAATATTCTATTGCAGTCTTAGGGCTTTAATTTTAAATCATAGAACAGTGTGAAAATTTTAAATAAATAACTAACTTAAAAATATTATACAATAATAAAAATGTGTCGTTTTTTCTTCATTAGTATTTGTCTTATCTTTACCTATTTACAAACACATAGTGTAAAAATATTTGGTAATTATAAAATTACTATACTATGTTAAAGAAATATCAAAATTTCTGAAATTTTTGATGACTCCTTGCTACAAGTCCAGCGACCCCTGTTGGGGTCGGACCTACAGTTTAAGAAACGCTGCACCTTCAGAAATTATTACCACTTATTTTTTCAAAGCACGTTGTTGAAGGCCGGGATAGCCTGGTTGGTAGGGCACTGGAGATCCATGTCCAAGAGTTCGAGGGTTTGATCCCCACAGCCTAAGACTCCCTGTGTAGTAAATGGTGACTGATGTGATGCGCGTTAAATCTGTTGAGTCTCAAAGTTCTCCATGTTCCCATAACAAATCAATACCTCGGGGGGTACTGATCCAGGAGTTTCCTTGTCTTCTGGATTCAAAATTACAGGACTACGGAGTTGAACATTAGTTGTCATAAACCCAAAAAATTGGGTCGGCTGTTCAACGTCGGATATAATATATATGTATATATATAAATTAATTTAAAAAAAGCACTTTGTTTGTTTTTTCTAAACCCAATAATTCCTTTGGCGCAATCTGTAATTAATATTTTATACTACATTAGTTTTATCTGTCGGGAAATCTACTGGAGAAACACTAAAAAAAAAAAAAAAAATTAATCCTAAAACTCTTTATTTTGTTAAAAAATTAAAAAAAGTAGTTGGAGAAATAATTTAAAATGCTGAATTTCAAAAAAACGCAATGCAAGCGCTAAAAAAAGTAATAATGATGATTAAATTATTTAAAAGCACAAAAATAAAGTTTTATTCACGATTGTATTTACTAAAATAATTATTGCATGCAACTAAATGAATTTATAAAAAATTGAACCAACTAACCATTTTCTTTTTCACAATGTGAAAATCTATTTTCATTTTCTTGAAAATAAAAAAAAGTTACATTATTAACTGATTACTCTTTCTAAGCTATTATAAATAAGATTTATAAAAATGATAACTTAAACGATAATTTATTTCGAAAAATTTCTCCAAACTTGAAAGTGCACAAACTTTTGAGTACATTAATGGCTAAACACTATGCAATAGTGCATTTAATCTTCAAAACTGTATATCAACAGTGTGTAAAACTGTGTATAACTATCAATAACCCTGGCTTATATTCAAAAATAAGCCATGTATTCTATGGTTAAGCATTTCAATGGGGCAAAGTACATGATTTAGTTTTCTATAAATAACTTATTTAATGTAGAACACATTTTCTGAACACGGGGGACTCCGTTATCATTTGGAATCGTAAAAAAAAAAAGCAAAAATGAATGCACAGTATATATGCAAATAAATATGTAAGCCAGAACTAAAATCCCTATCAAGGAAGGTTGGATTCAAAACATCAGAATCAGTTTGATTGCCGAAATAAACTTGGAACGGTTTCTAGTCAATGTTTTTTTCTGCCTTTGATTTTTCCAGCAATCAAGCATGTTTTGATATTTTTTCCCCCTTTCTCCTTCATAAGAGTTTTGTTGATAAGAGAGACAAGTTTTGATACGTTTCTGTTTTATCATAACTTTAATATTAATTTGCGATCTTGTATATCATTTTTAAAACATGATTAAATAAATCATTTGCATTCTAAAAAAAGGAATCTTTTGCAGATAGTAGTTGTGAGTCTCGAAGTGCTGCGAGTCTTCATAGTGATTACCCAGATAGCCCACAATGCTCTCCTTCAAATCAAAACCAGACCTGTGATAGCAAAGGAAATAGTGAAACAGGTGATGTTAAGGTTAAAGAGGAACCCGCCAGTCCGGTAATTTAAATATGTTTTCTTGTTAAAATACAATTAACACATGTATCTTAACTCTTTCATCACGACGGACGAGATAACTCGTCTTCCAAGAATACTTTCTGTACTCTATTGTTGTATTAGTGAATATGGTTATCGATTGCAATTAATTATTATTTTTTAAACTAAAATAATTAAGTCTTAAAGTCATTTAAATTTATTTTCAGTTTTAGTGCCACGTATGAACTCTAAGCACAAAGGGGCGTCTTAGCCCCTTTGAAAGTGTAGACGATGAAAGTGTTAAAGCCATCTACTTCTGTCGTCATAGTATTAGTTTTCTAATCAGTTTATTGTTAGATCTCTTTCCTATTAAAATAAATCCTCTTTAAGGCAATGACAAACAATATTACCATTTTGGATCACTTTCTACACATACCATAATATTCACGTTGTTAGTAAAGTTTGCTCTTGATATATTGTTTTAGAATTCTTGTCAGAAATAAAGACCAAAAAAATATACTCAATGGGGTTGCAAATTAATATTAATGGTAAATAATTTTAAATGGTATACAAAATACCAAAACCTGTTTGTTTGTGAGTGGAAGACTATTGAAGATCAGTGCTTTGAGAAACACTTTCAGGTTTCAACTTGAAATAAAGCAGTTTTTGATGTTCTCTACACCCGCCTTCCTTAATCGAATTTTGTCAGATATCGCTTGCATTCTTTTGCCTCGTTTAAATATCAGTTACGACCTCCCATGTGTATGCCTTTGCTTTCATTATTGACAAGGATTCTGCAAAGTATGTATTAAAGGTAGTACTTACGACTAGGAGAGTTGGAAAAATAACCAATTGAATTGGAAATTAAAAAAACGTAAATGGAAATAGATTGGTCAAGTTCTACATAAATATGAGAAAGTTAAAATAAAAGAAGATTTTGAGTGGAACCGTCAAGGCAATAGAAAAAGAGGAAGACCTAAAAATGCTTGATGAAGGATAATTATATGCACTAACACTTGTGGGTACATTGTATTTAAATAGTTCCTGAGAAGTTAAATTTCAAAAAGTCAGATACTTAAAATATGATTTCTCAGGAACTATTCGAATGATTTTGCTCAAATTCCGCATTTTTCTATGTAAAATTACATTCTTTGAAATGATACGAAAAATTTTATACCTTACAACTCAACATTTTTTCGGCCATTATTAAATAAAATAATAAAAAACAATAAATAGTCAAAGAATAATAAATAGTTAAAAGTTAGTTTTTGCATGAAATCTTTGGATAAGCAAATTTTATAATTCATAGTGTGTAAAAAAAATTTCAATTCGCTTAAAAAATTTTGAGATGTAGCAAAATAAACAAAAAGTAAAATTAACAATAAGTGGTCCAAGCTTTGGAGCACTCTCTTGACCAAACTATTGGGACCATATTTTCCAGATTGTGGCTTCACCCTACGTTTTGGGTGTTAGAAATCCGAATCTGTCAAAGAAAAATGTATGTTTATTCAGAGGAAGTACGTTTTTGTATCTGATTTCATATTCTAAAATATCGTCAGCACTAATTAAATAGCACACCCACTTGAACCATTAAGATTGGGTCATAGAACCTGAAGATCTGATTATTAGATCAAAAGTTATTCAGGGTAATCCACTTTTTTTGCCCACTGTACATTTTTCTATACAATATACATATGTTTATAGATTTAATGCATGTATGTATGGTCGTATGTACAGTGCGCAAGAGAAAATAAAAACCTTGAGTAACTTTTGATCTAATGATCGGATTTTTACATACCAGGACTCAAACTTAATAGTTAGCTGGTGAGATCACAAATGTGCTAATTAATTTATGCAGACGATATATAATGTTACAAAATTGTGCACAAAACCTACTTTTTCTGAATAAACATAACTTTTTCGGCAGAACTAGAATTCTTACTCTCAAAGTAGAAGGGTCGCCGCAATCTGGCAAATTAGGACCTAATAATTTGGTCAGGAGAACAGTTTAGGGTATGGGCCCCTTAATGTTATTTTTACTTTTTGCATATTTCATCACATCTTGAGAATTTGTTTGCGAAATTTAATTTTAAAAAAAATCAAATAATTAATAGAAATAAAAAAAATAAAAAAAATCTTTCTATAAACGGATTTTATCATTGTGTGCAAAAAATGTTAGGTTTGCTTCAAAAGTTCTTGAGATATAGTGAAATATGCAAAAACTAAAATTAAACATTAAGGGGTCCAAACTTTTGATCTCTCTCCTGACCAAACTATTCAGACCATATTTCCCAAATTGCAATTACCCTCCCGCCTTATTTCAAAGGTTAAGAAAAAAAAAATAATAATAATTTTTTATTTGGAGGAAGTTTGTTTCTCTGTTTGATTTCATAACTTAAAATATCATCTCCCTAATTAATTAGCATATATGAAATCGGATTCTAGTGCCATTTAGATTGAGTCCTAGTACGTGAAAATCTGATCAAAAGTTATTCAGAGTGTTCCTTTTTTTTTCTTTTGCACACTGTACGTACAATGTGGATAAGTATTTTTATACATACAATATATATCTCTATACATATGCATTTATCTGTGTATAATATATTAATGTTGATACAATATATTTATGTATATCTGTACCCACAATACATTTATAAATTTACATACAATGTTTAAAAATTTTCATTTAATTAACCAAACAAGTAAATTCATTTGATTTGTGCTTTACTTAAAAAAGTAATTAATTTCTTACAATTCTGATTACAATGTAATCAAGATAACTTGTAATTAGGTTACATTTGACAATGCTGTAATTATTACAATTATTTGTATTCAAAATTACTAATCATTAGATTAAGATGATTGGTAATCATGCTTGCTTGTAATTCTACATAATGATTATTTTAATCACATTGAAATGTAATTTAAGATTGTGGTTATTTGTAATAACAATTACCCACAATCGCTTTTTATTTTGATTAAAAATTATTGTTGCCTCTTTTTAATGGAAATTATTGTTATTTGTAATTGTAATTACTGTTACAAGTAATTTATTACTATGTACTTTTTATTTATAGTTAATTACAATTGTCGTTTCTGCTGAGCAGTATTTCAAATCATTTGTCGCCCATTTTGTTTTGTCGTTTTTGTTGTTCATGAAATTATTCATTTTGAATTTATTCTTGACTAATGAATAAGGAATAAAGTCTAAAAATAGTAAACATTTTAATCTTTGTTCAAAATATTTCAGAATAATGAATAAATTTTTATTCATTATTCAGAAAGATTTTAACTAATTATTCATTAGTCTTTATTCATTAATTCTGAATGATGAATGACCATCTCTGATATCAGATAAGATTTGCAAGGACTTAAAATATTTCTGTTTTAGATGAAATTCTGCACATGCAATTAATTAGTATTTTAGCTGACAAAAATTTTATGAAAAATGTATTTATGTGTCTGAAATATATTTGTACCAAATGTGAATTAATGATAGTTATATACATGTTTACAGAAGAAAAAAAAACTTTAAAATTGTATGATTTCTGATAGTCCTTGATGTAAATTCTCTTTATCTCATAATCAGTATTTATATGACATAAACATGCAGTGCATGTAATATTTAATCATTATTTTATAATATCTTTTACTCATTTTTCAATTTAGGTGAGCATAAGTGATGTTCTGAAACTTACAAGTGGCCCTGGGCCATTAGATTTAGGCTCTGGGTTTTCATTCAATTCTCTGGGGAAAAGTAGCTCATGTAGCTCAGATTGGGCTACTAAAGTGAAAGAGTGGCAAACTGCAGAGCAATTAACAAGAATGAGAGATGAAGAGCCTTTGTTAAAAAATGGAAACGATCGAAAATTCAATGAACTTTGTATTGTTTGTGGGGATAAAGCTTCAGGTAAACTATTTTATGCATGCATTATTGTTTAAATAAATAAAAAATTTTGGTTTTAACATTAGTTCACTTAATAACATAAAACAATGAATCAATTTTGTCTTCTATGCCATAAGTGTTCTGTCTCTCATTCAGAAAAAAAAAAAAGCATAAGTACTTCCTGATACATTTATAGAAAGTTGCTTGACAACTTTTTCTTTCTATTCCTACTGCTGTAAACTAGAATTTCAGAAAACTGATAAAACAAAACCTATTTTTGAAAAAAAATTACGATATCTAGCAAGAGAAAAATTAATTTTCTTCAATTGAAACTCTACAGCCATTTTCTGCATATTTGTTTATCATATTTCACAAGAGAAATTATTGCAACGTTTTGAGTATTACAGCAATTTTTGTCTGCCTATTTGTTGAGCATATTTAAAGTACAATGCAAATCTTATTCATGTAAAAGTGTATAATTATTTATCACTACAGGCATTTTTATGGAGAAGAAATGTGTGCCAATTTAAGTGGTGATGTATATTCAGTGATGATGGAATATTAAGGTGTGGGTGGAAATTTGTATTGGTATAGTGGGCCAGTTGAAGATATTGACAAATTGAAGATTGATGCTGAAAGCAGAAGGGTGATGAAAATAATACTTGAACCGGATCGGAATTAATAAAAAGCTTTTATTTCATATATTTGCCGAGCTCGAGATACCAAATGTAAATATTATCCATAAGAATTTCAGTTTAATCAATTTTGATTAATAATATTAATAAGGACAGGCCATGGGAGACAAATCCCCCACGACCTGCCTAATCAAAAGCCAAATTAAAAAGTACGCGTAATTTGTTCCCATCGGACACAGAAGCACGGATAGGAGATCCAAAATTGGCGATTTAATAAATTATAACATAGCCAAAACAAAGCCAACCAGCATATCAATATTGCGTTTAAAATAATACCTTGGCGATCACGAGTCGCCAATAAATTTATGAGAATTATTACAACCATGCAACTGAAACATTTTTGCAGATAGAAATTAGAATAATAAAAGTTATAAATAGATTTTTGTTTTGGATTAGTAATGAAATAAAAAGTATCTGTTGCATTGATCTATAAGAGAAGGATAAATATTATATGTTCATGTTCGTTTTAAAAGATTAAGTCTTTGATTTATTTTAAAGGTAATTCTATTAATAAAAATCTGCTTAAGTAATAAGAGATATTTAAAAGATAGGAAATAAATATGTAATGCCAATTGTGGCATCACATATATCCCGAAGTAAAATGCTTTTTGTGTCCAAGTATGCCTTTTTTTAAAAATAAATAAATAAATGTAAAATATTGAAAATTATTCACGATTTTTCAAAGTCTATCTCAATTCTCAACATCCATTTAAACCATTTAAAAAATCTATCAGTGTTAATAGATAATATGAGTATACAAAATCTTTACTTTTGAAATGTATTTATATTTTGTAAATCATGCTTAATTAAGTCTTCTATTTTTCTTATGATTTATGAATTAAGATGATTGCATTTTGATTATTTCCAACACTTTACAGGCCGACATTATGGTGCTGTTAGCTGTGAAGGGTGTAAAGGGTTTTTTAAACGTAGTATACGTAAACAGCTAGGCTATGCTTGCAGAGGAAACCGCGACTGTGAAGTTACAAAACATCACCGTAACCGCTGCCAATATTGCCGTCTTCAAAAGTGCCTTGTTATGGGCATGAGAGCAGATTGTAAGTACTTGCAATTTTTGGACACTTTTGTAAAAAATTTTTGAAGGCTGTTCTTCAAATGCTCTGTTGTCTTAATGAATAATGCTTTTATGCAAATAATTAATGATTTTAATTATTGTTTGTAACAACTATTCATAATTTTAAGGTTATACTTTCTCAACTTGTTACCATCCCTCTCTATGCTAATGATAAAAATAGCACAAAAAGGCAATACAAAAGAAAAGCTCTTAGTTTTGTAAAAAGGAAAAAGCGTATATAGACTACTTTTTAAACGTATGAAAAATTACTCCAACTACGCATTCAAAGGACACTGTACCAAGGCAGAAGCATTTCATGATAAATTTTCTATTATCTAAATAAGTAATTTAGAATTCAAAGTATAGAAAAAGTGAGTTAAGGTAAACCTAGAATAAACCATGAAGTTTAAAAAAAGGAAAAAATTTTATTTCTAAATATCAAAATGCAAAAAAAAAAAAATGTGACTGGATTACTTAGGATTAGTGAGCGCAGAAGTAATTCTGCAATAATTAGTTTGCATTTTGAAAACTTTTTCTTTAGCATTTGAAACTTCATGATTTACTCAAGGTTTACCTGTACCCACTTTTCGATAAATTTTTAAATTATCTAACACCAATAGAGGCAAAACAATATTTGCCATGAAAAGCTTTTTCCTGGTCATAGCGTTTTTTTGGTTATAAAAATTGAAAGCTAATTGAATTTATGTAATTTTATTCAGGTGGGAAATGCTGCTAAACTGAAATGTTTTTTTTTACGTATTTAACTATTAATTCATTTTTAAGTACAAACAATTCTTTTCAGTTTCATATTATTCAAGATTTTTTGTGATAACCGCCTTTACTATATATTTTTAGAATCCTTTTGAAAAATGGAGTAAATAAAGATATTATCAAGTTTTTAAAAATATAAAGTTATTATTCCAATGGAAATCAGATATAATCCTAATATTGAATATATATTAGGTGTTCAAATTAATATTAAAGCAAAGAGCGACAAAAAATATGCTATTGAAATCTGACAGCGTGTTTGTGAAGAACATCTGAACCAATTTGATTACCTGATAAAAGTTGGAACAGTTTTTAAATTTTGTTTTAGCTGCTATCTATAACAATAAAACATGTTTTGATGTCCCCTGTCTTGCCTTGATGAGTACTTATTTATTAGGTTTCGATTGCATTATGTTTAAGACGAACTAAAATATTAATTAGGGACTTTAAACGTGTATACTTTTTTACTTCATCTTTGACAAGGATTTTTAAAATACATGTTAAAAGTGCTCATTAGGGAACACCCTGTATATAATAAAATTTTAAACTTTGCTTAAATTCAATGTACTCAAGCAGGTCTTTTTTATTTTATATTGTAAAAGAGCTTCTAAGAACACTCACCTTCTAGTTTTAGTTTATTGTTTAATCTAAACCATGAATTTTTCTTTAGCTGTCCAATCTGAAAGAAAACCAGCTGATTCTAGAGAGAAGACTGTCACCCCTCCAATGGCGACAAGCTCACAAAGAATCTATGTACGTAAGGATTTCAGAACTCCTCTTGCTGCTTTGCCATCATACAGCTCTTATAAGGTTTGCCTTATTCAGTATCCCTCCAACCACATGTGTCCCCTGGCCTTTTCCACAACCAACCATCAAATATATAAGCATTTTCAGCTTATGTGACTAAATTTATTTGAAGGATTAGTTTCTGAAATATCTTACTCCATTGCATGCTTGCACTTACCTGCCAGTTATTATAATTTGTGACCTTTTTCAATTTAACCCATTCATTATGTAATCATGCATTTTGATTATAATAAATCAACAAGTTCTATTACCTAAAACAAAATAATATACTTAATAATAATTTCATACTTAATTATAATAATATACTTAATTATAATAATAATTTCATTCATTACGAGGTAGAATTATATAAATATCTTTTATCAAGAGCTTTTAGTTTGCCCATTTTTAACTTTGTTACAAATTAGTGATAATTCCACATTTAACTAACGGAATGAAAGTAATATTAACTTACTCATTTATGTGAAACTAACTAAATAAAATAATACTATTTTATCCATCTACTCTCTAAATTTAATTTTGATTTTGACTAGATTTGTTTCAACAAAGCAAAAATTTACGAAAGAACCTGTCACCATTTATTAAATACAAGAACAGGTATCATAAGCAGGAGCTAATTACCAAATTAAGACTGGAAAATTGGATCCGCAATTTTATCTGGCTCGTTAAGGTCTAGTGGCATGCAAATGTCTGAAGCAAACATTTTGATCTCTTAAAATGGAATATAATCATTTAAGGGCAAAAGAAAACTAATTTGATTACTACGTCTAATTTATATTTTTAAAATTCTTTCCAAAAAAAGAAAAAGTATACACATTAGAGGTCACGAAATAATATTCAAGTAAGAAAGAATTGATAGCGCTTTTAAATTTAGGGAGAATGGGAAATAAAAAACATCAAATTAAGTTTGATTGCTTGATGAAACTAGGAAGTTTTATAATAATTGTTTCAGAAAAATCAAAATTTCCAGATTTTTCGTTAATTGCGATCTGGAAGTTTCCTGAAATCTAAGGTCCAGAAGTTTCAAGAAAACACCGATCACATAAAATTCTTGTATATTTTACTTAAAAATATCAGAACTAAAATTTATACTTTGCATTTCTCTCATCTCATTTGTAAATAATTTTTCTGATAGAATAATAAAAGTGATTAGAGATAAAAGTTAACTTATACATAATTATTCATTTAAATTTATAAAGACATTAATTTTTTGAAATGCGTCATCAATGAAATTTTCAGGATTTATGAGTAGGTCTCACAATCTCCCCTATAATTTGAAATCCCGAAATTCCTCAGAAGTGGTTCTTCATTAAATTTCCTTCTGGTTTTGTTTTTCCTTTCTTAAATATTATAGTGAAATGTTTGCTTCAGTCAATGTTAGTATGTGGTTAAAGATTTATTTTAGACAAATTACATTTTTGCAGCAAATTTTTAACACTTAACTTACTCTATTTAGACTTTTGACTGGTTCCATGCATAAATGAATTACATATTAATAATATGTAATGTATGTATTTTGCAGCAAGCTACTTACTTCATAACTAACCTGAGTGTTAATAAATGTTGATAATATTTATCCAACCATCTGTCCTATTACTGAAAGACAAACCTTTGACTATTTATCTATTAATGTACTGATATAATGTTCATTTAACAGAAAACAACGAATATTTATGGTTATTATAAATTAGTTTGATTTATGTTAAATTTTATCTTCTTAACTAAATTTTTTTAGTACTTATAAATTATTTGTATTTTTTACTTATTTTGCTAAGTATTCTGCATTTTGTTTTTTAACAGCATAACACTATTACTCATTCTGACCATAATTATTATTAAAAAGAGCTTTTATTATTATACTATGTGTGTAGTAAAAGTAGTATTATTATACTACTTTTATTATATACTAATTATCGCCTTTAAGGTTTAGTTTTAAAATCATTGTCAAAAAAGAAGCCTAAAATATACTCATTAAGGGGTGCAAATTAATATGCAAGTAAGGAAAAACTAAAACAGTTTTTTTTTAAATCAGACAAATAATTATTGAGGGAAACAGAATTAAAAATACAAAACAAGTTTGATTACCAGGGGAAACTTTAACGTGTTTTCTAATAATCACCTTCCCCCTTTTTTAGTCTCTTTCAGCAATCAAACAGGTTTTGATCTTTTTTTAATTCTTTATTCTTCATTTATGATTCGCCAGATTTTGATTGCAGTTTTCACATTTCCTTGCTTAAATATTAATTTGAGACCTTAATATATATGTTTTTTATTTCATTTCTGACAAGAATTCTGAAACTATGTATTAAAGATGTAACGGATACTGGATTACAAATTGTCTTGCTTATTTTAATTTGCATTAAATTGTTCTTGTCTGAACCTAGGGAGAAATTCACCATTTTGTGTTGTATTCTGAACCAAAATCCCCCCCGGGTGTTTAAAAACACAAAAATAAATATTGATGTTTCTCTTTTATTTTTGTTTTGCTGAAGTTTAGGAAGCTAAGAGATAAAGAATTTTATATAACTTAATAAATTGTGGGTATGCTGCCATAAGTGATTAAGCCATAAGTGAAAAGTGATAAAAATAAATCAATATACCTCAGTCGTTTAATTGCTTGTCAACTTTTTTTGAGAAAAAATCCCAAAATTATTTACATAGCTTTTGACAGTATCAATGCTATGTATACTGACAAGAGCTTTCACTCCAAAAAAAGCAACAGACAAATAATTTTGGCACATTTTCTCCTTTTTGTCAATTAATTTGGTCTTATTTGGAAATATAGCAAAGTATGTCTAAAATACTGTATTGTAGTATTTATTTATTATTAGTATTTAAATTTTGATATTGTTTTTAGCAAATGAAAAAATTAGTTATAAAATTTTCCAATTAATTTGTGCAAGATATAAATTGTTCATTTTTTTCATTTACTAATTTTAATTAGCATATGGAATTCTAGATTTTATTTGCATATTATTTAATGGCAAAGTTGATTTATTATTTTAGTTCAAGAGCTGATATTTTTATTGTTATAGATGTTATTTGTTACATTAAAATAACTTGAGTTTTGTTTGTTTTTTTCAGGATGTACGAAGCAATTCTAATACTGGCAATTCAGGTGAAATAATATTTCATTAATACTATTTCATCAATTAAATATATTTAATTTAATAAAGATTGAATAAATAAATATTTAATGTTATGCTATTAGCATTTAGTGAAAATGTATTTAATGATTTATTGAATGTTATTTTTATTGTTTACTTTCAGATCTAAGCACATTAGCAAATGTGGTAACTTCATTAGTTGCATTGAAGCAAAACTCAAATGATCAATGCGATAAATCACTAGTCACTGCTAATGGGGAATCCCATAACAGGTTATTATCTAAAGATAATAACAATATAATATCCAAAGCCTTTGATACGATGGTGAAGGTAGCTAGATTTCTATTAATATCATATTACATTTCACATCAGCTTAACTTGTCAGTGATGTTAAAACTAGAATATGTAATGATGCATTAAGGAAATTTAATTTTTTGATTTTTTTAAATAGAAATGGTGAATGAACACATTATGCACAAAAGAGGGAAATCCTTGATAAAATTTTAAGATTATGAGCTTTTTTTAATAATTATAGAATTTTAGCTTATTGTTTAAACAATTTATCCAACAATCTTTAATTTGAGCATTTTTAAAGGCCCAATTTTTATTTAAAAAACTTTGAAATGAAGTTTGAGCAAGCAATGTTTTAAATAAGTATTGCTGGACATGAGAACAAAAAACTTATCTTATTTTGTTTCTTACTTGTCAGTTAACTTGTTGTTGTCATAAAAATTATCTAAACTATTTTTAAATTAAGGAATAACTTTGTATGATGACATAAAACAAAATTGATTTATTTATGTTATAAGTAGTAAAATATAGTATTTATTTTTCAAAATTTGAGCTTAAATACAAGCTGATTCTAAATAAGATAATCAATAAGTTGAAAAGGATTTAAATATTAATTTAAAGTTGTTATTGTTAAGTTGAACAAACTGAAAAATTTATTATTGCTATGGCACTAAATGTGCTAATTATGTATTTTAAATCTAATTGTGTATTTTTTGTTCACTAATGTGCTTCATTTTAATTTTAACAAATGAAAACAACATATTACAGAACACTTCTTTACAACCTGTCATTGCAATATATTTCATTAGACCACACCTATAAATAACCGATTTACATGTATCAGGCTATTATGCATTGCCAAATTAAGCTGATGTATATTCTGTCTGTACAGGATATTCCTTGAAGAACACCTTTTTATGTATATTTTTAAATCTTTGTCGAAAATGAAACCAAAAACGGATACACATTAGGATTTACGAAGTAATATTTAAGAGAGTATTAAACCTAAATACTATAGAATCACTTGTGTGATAGGCGGGATAAAATAACATCAAAACCAGTTTGATAGCCTGATTAAAGCAGTAGGTATAGCTAATAGTCACTTTTAAACTCCTCTCTGTTACGTCAAGCAATAAAACAGGTTTTGATGTTTTCAGTTCTGTCTTCCTTAGTAGTCATTTGTTAAATTTTGATAGCTAATGCGCTTTAAATATTGTAAAAATATATATTAAAGGTGAGTCTTTACGGAAACACAGTATAATAATTCTGTTTTCCAGCATTCAAATCTCTTTATTCTATTACTGATATTGCCTTATTTAGTTTCTGAGTTACTTATTAAAATATCTATTTTCATCTAGAATTTTCTACATATATATTTTTTAAAATTGGTTAGTGATGTAGAGATTCATGTTTAAGATATATTTCCCCCTATTTATGCATTATATGTTTACATGTACTGGTTATTTACATTTTAACAAATTTTATTTAAAACATCCAGCTTATTATTACTTAAGTTACTTACATATTATGGTACATAATAAGAATGTTATGATATTTTGAATGTTATGATAATGTTATGATTTTAAATGTCATGATATTATATTTATTACTTTTGTTTTTTTAGCTTAATGTATAAACTGGAGCTTATTATTTTAAACTTTAAATTTGATACTCATTTATTGATGATCTGTAGTTCCTATTTTCAAAATCATAATTTTTTTTTATTATTTTGTTATGTGTTTATTGGTAAAAAGTAAACAGTAACTTCTCCCATTGTAAAATTGTTGCATTAATTTTGTAATTTTATTAACTGTCTTTTTGTTAAATGACTCAAACTTAGTCAGCATTCGTTCTGCTAGCCTATACATTTATCAAATGTAATTTATAACTTAATGCCAAAATTTTTAAAAAAGGGAATATTTTCTGCAAGAGAACTTGCATTTTAAATAAAATTTATTACACTGATGAGGTATTGTGGAGAAATAGCATTGTAAAATGTTTAAAAAGTTAATTTTTAATTTTATATAATTTAGTTGTACGCAAATTTTAAGATTTTTTTTCTATAAAATTGAAGTTGTAGTTCACATAAAGGAAAAGTATAGAGCATTTTGTTTAATCAATGAGCACATAGGGTAAATAAGCTCTACAAACTAGGTACTGGAAACAATATCTTTTATTTGCTCAAGATACTGTAGCTTCCTCAGTTTTATTCAAATTTAAACAATTTATATTGTTCATGCAGTGAAATAAGATTTCTTTGCTATGCTTATAGTTTTTGATTGATTACATGATAAACTCAGAATTTAAAACATTTCATGTTAATCAAATATTTAACAAAATGCTGTAACTGCAATAAAAAAATATTGCACACAATGAGAACTATTTTAGTAATAATATATCTTTAAAATCAGGCGAGTATTGAAAAAGTTTTCATGTCTGTGATTATAAAGTCACAGTTAAGTGAAAATACCATTTGGAAATCTTATTTCACATATGTACGTCTTGATGCAATATTCTAATATACATGAGTTCCAAATTATGGTTCTCAAAATATTCTTAGGCCTACCTGCTGCCAAATAACATAAAAATATACAAACTATCCTTTTAAAAAATGTAACCAGGCATTTTTTCTTATTGATTCAGTTTGTTGGGAATTTTTCATATTAAGATTTCATGATTAAATATAGAAATTTTAATTTTAAAAAAAATTATTCTTGTCCTTTGATCATGTAATTATTCTTTTAAAGGTTGCTGGGGGTTGTTCTGATCAATTATCTCTGCCACTAGAACCTGAAAGTGATTCATTGTTTGAATTTGATGGTAAATTCTTCTTAATGTTATTGTTCTTTCAATGTATTTGTGTATACTAAGCATATTTTACATTAAGTTAAATTTAAGGCCCAGTTTTCTCAAGCCATATGATAAATCAGACACTGGCTCTAACTTGTGCAATTACCTGATAGACTTAAAAGTCCTTGAAAGTTTATAGAAATATCAGGTCATTTTTCTAAAAGCCAAATAAATACTTAACAACATTTATTAATTTGCGTGTTCTTAGCAACTGTCAAAAGTAATAGCAGTAATGAACTGGTAAGCATTATAAAATTCGTGTTCAACAAAATCTTTCATATTTTAAGAAGAATAACGTAACTGTAGCGATAAAGGTACAAAAATGTTTAAGAAATTTCACTTGACTTTCTTATGAATATTTCATACCCTAGCAAAAGTAACATAACTCAAACCTTATTTTACTGTGGAGTCAAAATAATGTTTATTTTAGTTGTGAAATCAAAGTTAAAATAAGTCAACTCAACGTCATAAATTAAAACTCAAATTTGTGAATTTTTGAGTGGTGATGTTATTTGCACCTATGGTTGATTAATTTTTTTTGCTCCTTCTCATTGTTTTTATATGACGTGAGTACCAGTTTTTAAAACTTGATTTAATGTAATAAAAAATTACTTTGGATGATTGACAAGTTATAGTATGATCTGTTTATTGTAAACATTGATGTCTTTTCTCAAGCCTTTTAAAAGAAAGAAAAAAATTTGGTTAAAAAAAACTTGGTTATAAAACGATACAAGATATGTTAATTTCATTATTTATACAGATTTAATTTAGAATAGAATTGATTAAAAGCTATTTGAAATGGAAAACTATGGGATATATTTTGATTCAAAAAAAGCAGTATGGGGAGTACCTTGATCTTTTTACTGATGTCATTACTTATCTAGTTATACATTCAACAGATCCTGTAACAGAATGAATAGTATCTAACTGCTTCTGAATGTTACTCGTATAACTTCTCTTCCATTTCTGATATATCTGTTTCAAAATTAAATTCAGAAAAAGTAACATTACTGAAAATTGAGAAAATAATGAATCTACCTGGTTTGTTTTCTAAACAGGTGGAACAGGTGAACACTTTTCTATGAACCACTAAAATCCCTGGGAGGTGTAGTTGCTTTATTTTTATACTGGAAATGCTATCTAAAAAGGCAAATTTCTTTTTACACACTAAAGCATATACATGTGATATTTGGTTTATGCAAGAAAATGTTCATGAAAGAAAAAATTCTGTTAATACTTATTTCCAAAGATACTTTCAAAATAAAATTTGGCAAATAGTTATATCAAGCAATTTCAATTTGGCATTATTTTTTTTTAAACTTTTAAATCAAAATAAGCATGGTTAATATTATTATGAAGGTATATAAGCAAGGTTAAAAATTGTTAACTTTTTATGATATAAAATTATTTAGTTTTGTAACTAAATAGAAGGCTAGAAATGGCTTAATCATCGAAGCACTGACTTATGTGACGTTTACTAGAAATTTTTTGTTTACTAATAAAAAATCCTATTTTTGAATAATGAAACTACTAATTGAATTAGGCTGTAAGATTTATTAAAAATGTGAAAATAGTACTTAAGTTGTCATTTAACACCTTGCACAAGTACTTGTAGCTCATAAATTTTATATGCTAGTATAGTAATTATAATGTATTTGTTTTCAGGTCCATTACTTTTAGACTCTCATGTACAATTTCATCTAACCACTCCTAACCCTGGATCATCGTATCTCAACGTCCACTACATTTGTGAAAGTGGCTCTAGGCTTCTTTTCCTTTCAGTCCATTGGGCTAGATCCATTCCTGCCTTCCAATTACTTCAGTGAGTGTAAATAAATATTCTTAGTTAGGTTGATTGTGATAATACTAATTAATATTATTTATATTCATGTGCAAAGTTGTGTGTCAAATAGTTGCTGGGCTATCTTAGGTCTTTGTGGCATAACTTCATAGAGAAAATACTTGGCTGAATTATAATTGTTAAAATTGTAATGTTATTGTAATATTTTATGACTCTGGAGAATATTTTACTTCAAACGTTTTTGGTAATAGCAGTTTATTATTTAGTTTCAACCTCCTTTACCTATGCAACCCTAAAAAAGCTGCTGACAGCATGCAATAACTTATTTACATACAATAAGATCTACTTTAGAATACTTATTCTGACTTTTTTTTTATGAATTGATACAATAGCATATTTAAAAATGAAGGCATGTAATATAACTATCACAGGTCCCAAAACTTCAAAGGGTCTAGTAAAATTCTTCACAAAAATAATGTTTTTTAATAATTTAAAAAATAATTGAGAAAATTTCTTTATAAAATAAATAATGTATATCCATAAATGTTTAATTTTTAGCAGAAATAAGCTTTTATAAAACTAGTGAAAGTTAATATTTTAGTATGTTTATGAAAATAGATATTCCAAGAATCTCTCCTGTAAACTGTAATTTTAAAAATGTCTTTTTAAGAAATTTTATAAAATATGCAACAACAATAATTTTTTTGTGTTTTGAGAAAGTACCTTACAATAAATTTTGTCCTGGGAAGTGTAAAATCTGTATTTTTCCTTGATGAGAATGGTAACATCCCTAGTTTGCTCTATTATATTTATATTACATGAGAAATAACAAGATATACACTCTAAAATTATCTAAACCCACGACCTAATGGAACATTCAGTACAAAATTCGAATTGATTTGTGTTGTTATGTGTGAATTTTTTAAGTATGAAGTAATTCATAAAACTGTTTGTACATTTATCTTATAGGCCAGAAGTTCAGGCTACATTGGTACGAAGTTGTTGGAGTGAGCTATTTACATTAGGTTTAGCTCAGTGTTCACAAGTCATGTCTGTAAAAACAATTTTCAACGCTATTATAACTCATTTACAATCAAGTGTTCAACAAGGTGTGTGTTTTCCTCCTTTTTTTAGATAATATTTTATGTTTATTTATCTTCAATGCAAAAAAAATTAAATTCAATTGATTTACAATACAATTCTATTTGAAATTTTATTGACAAATTTGATAACATTTAATTAAAATCCTTCTTTTACTTCTAACTTCTGATGCAGCTGTTTTGTTGCTACTCAAAATTCTTTCTAATACTTATGGTACCTTTTCATGCAATTGCATTTCTTAATAAAAGTTACTTGTATTCATGTCTCTTATATGTGTTTAAATATATATCCTATTTTTGTTAAAGTATATACTTTTATAAGTATTATTTAAAATATTTATCTCTTATTTGTTAAACTATGTATTTTATACTTGTCAAATTATATATATCCTTTATTTATCATTTATATTTCTTATAATGTTATAGCAGAACTTTAACTCACATTTTCTGTTACAAAGGAGATAAATTATTGCTGTTCACTTTACTCTGAATGGCATTTCTCTATATTATTGACAGATAGAAGCAGAATAAGTGAAGCGTACAACTTAACCCTGATGATGCAAATACTAATTTGATTTATATACTAATTTAAACTGTTAAGTTTAATTTATATATTTTTTATTTAAATATTTATGTAAGAAAATTTAGAAATGGTTCAAGTTTTGCAAATTATAGTATGAAAAAAATCTGAATAAAAATGATAATGAGAATAATGGTACTAATGTCATCATTCTGATTGTTATGTAATGAAATAAAAGTATACTTCTGAGTGAACTTTAGTAAAATTTCTATGTTTATTTAAGGGTCTAATCAAAATTTATATTTTAAATACTATGTGTTAATTTTATTATTATTAATAATAAAAGCTCAGCTTTTGTAGCTTATCAATACTAGTCAGTTTTAAAAACAAAACATATTTTTACTTATTCTCCTCCAGCTGTAGCATAATACAAAGGAATCAAGTTACAAATTAATTCAAGATTCATTCCCATAGTAATTGATTTTAAAATTTATTCATATAACTTTTTATCTAGTGAAACAAAATTTCATGAAAAACAGCATTTAAAATCACAAATGGTAATTAAAATCTATATATATTTCAGTGTCTCAATAGTATACCTTCATCATTAGGATAAAAGAAAGGAATGGTAAAAACAGAGTTATTAATCCGACAGAAGTTATGTCATATTAAAGAGATTAATATATAGTTAGAAGATAAATTTTCTTTCAACTGTACATTTATTGCTTTAGTTTATCTCTTTGATATCTATGGCATCTTTTTTTTTAACTGTATATTTAGTATGACGTAACCTCTATTTGATTACCATATCATCTCTGTTTTTATCATTCCTCTCTTTTATCCTTCTGATGAACATTTGTGACACTGAAACACGAAATAACCTAGGTTTTAGCAAAATTTTACCATTTGTGATTTTAAACATAGTTTTTAATGAAATTTAATTTTATCACTAAGGATTATTTTCATAATTTTACTAATGAAACAAATTTTAAAATATAATGTTTGTCTTAGTAAATACTAATGCAGATCACAGATTCTAAATGATGAAAACATTTTTTTTATGTAACAAACAAACTTTATTACTCTCACTTCAAGAAATTAACTAAGTAAATGATATTGTTTGAATATTTTCATTGCTACTTTAATTCTGTTTTTTCAACTTTATTTTATAAAAACAAACTTAGAACGTTAGTCACATTCTACTGTGACATTGGAGATGGAGAGCAAGACTTCCAGTAGGGATTTTGTTTAGATACAAGGAAAATTAAGTAAAATATCATACAAGGGAACTTTATGAGTATTATGACCCACACCATATAATATGGAAATGATTCAGTAATTTTTTTTTTCAGTTTTGGTTTGAAAAAGCATATTCTTTTCATATCGTTTTTTTCGTTGAAAAGCATGTTCTTTTTTATATAGATGTATTTTTTATGAATTTCTGGGAGAAGGTCGCTTCTTTTATTACAAACTTCAAAAACAAAAGCTTTTTTGTGATTATTACAATTTTGGAAATCCAGTTAAAATTATTCAAAATTCTTTTTGGACTATGAATAATTTTACCTTTGGGCAGTAGTTTGTAAATTAGGTAAAAGTTTTAAAAATAAAAAAAGTTTTTTTTTATTAAAATGGTAAATGTAATATTTATTGAAGTTTGTCCATTTTATTGTTTGATTTCAATGTTTAGATTTAAAGTGTATTAAAAATAACATTATTTTCACCCAATCATCAAATGTATTTGCTCTATTTATATCTTTAAATTTTTTTAAAACTTTTGTAGATCGGTTATCAGCTTCTAGAGTGAAACAAGTAACTGATCATATTTGCAAACTGCAAGATTTTGTAAATTCTATGCTTCGAGTTCAAGTTGATGAACATGAGTATGCTTATTTAAAAGCAATTGTACTTTTTAGTCCAGGTATGCCAGAATGTTTTGATTGCTTAACTTTACATTATTATTTTTTATCTCTATCTTTTATAATATGCATTACAGTATAACTAGTACATTTGTAATTTTTATGAAGCTCACTAACTCCAAAATTTGAAATACAGCTTTTCCTCAAACATTTCTTATTTTGGCTTTTCCTGTATTTGATTAATCAGGATGAATGCTTTTTTTTAAAAATTAAATTAATCTTAAAGCATATTCAAATAATTTAAACTTTATTGGTAAGTCTCAGAAATTAGTTTACAGTATAGTATAACTTTGTAAAGTTTAGTTTGAATTATTTAGGAACATTTTTAAAATTTCAAAAACTATTCTCTCATTGTTTAAGTGCTACTTTTAGTCAAAATTAAGCTCCTTGAAAATTTTCCAGTACAGTTTAGAACATAAAATATAGCAATCGAATTTGAGTTCTCACCTGGGATCTGATAATCTTGTGTGCTTACGTAACCCATTACTGATAATTGATTTTAAACAGATCTGAATTATTTCAGGATTCAATTACCATTTTTATAAAAAAAATTATAGTATAAGTTAACTATGCAAAAATGGACAAAAAAAACCTAAATGACAATAAAAAACTTAGTTTAATTTAGTACAAATAAGTATTGTCTAGTAAATAGTTCACAAAATCTCCATTCCGAGATTAAGTTAAATTCAGGCATATTCATTCCTTGTTTTTGCAACAATTTTGTTGTGCTATTTTGGTAAAGTATTTTTTTTTAAATTCAATAAAAAGAAAATTTAAACCTAAACTAGAAGATAAAGCAAGTTAAAATTATATATCTCCCTAAGCTGTCAAGACTAGGATTCATGTTTTTTTTAGCATTCAATGAAGATTTTGATAATCACCCTCAAAGCCATATGCTATTATATTATTTGTAGAGTTATTAGTCAAATCCAAACGAGTATATTCAGTAATTGATTTATTAATTTAATTCTTATAAATTAATTAGTAATTTGAGAATATTATTTGTAGCTGTAAATTTGAGATAACTTTGTTATTTTGATGAATTTGTTAAATTAAATTTCCCATGCAGTTTCTAGGATTAATTTCTTATAAGGAATATTCCAAATTTTATTTTTTGTCTTAGATCACCCTTCACTCCCCAGTGCAAGACAAGTGGAAAAATTTCAGGAAAAAGGGTACCAAGAATTAAGAGCCTACATTGGGCAAACATTTCCTGAAAATAATGACAGATTTCCAAAATTGCTTTTGAGGTAAGTATGTAACATAGATTTTTCTTTCTAGAGTGAAACTTTCATTATTACAAACCTTTGGCAATGAAACGGTGGCTTGTTGTACTCATGTAATAATTTTAGTAATGAACACTAGAGAAAAGAATAGTGTTTTACTGGAATATGTATTTTACTAATCAGAATTAAGAGTGCCTCTCCTTATTTTTGGGATACTTTTTTTAAATTTTGTTTTTAAATGTGTGCTGAGAGATGCTGCTGGAGTGCTATAAACATGTTGCTAAATACACAGAGGAGGGAAAAATTTTAAGTTCATCACCAAACAATAACTTTTCTGCCCATGTCATTTTGAGATGATATTAGTGGTCTTCATCATGGGCAATTAAAATAATTTTTAAAAATTGATATTCAACTGTGGGAACTCAAGTGGTGAAATCAACTTCAATTTAAATGTGTGCCTTAGTAAAAAGAAGACTGGGACTTCTAACTTTAAAACCATATGTTTCTAATTTCTATATAAATATTCTAAAGGATTATTTTTTTTCTTATGAAATATAAGATTTATTCTTATCATTTACTGTGTCATCACAAATTAAACTATTCTCAGCACGATTTTTACTTTATAGAAATACAAATAAAGGTTTGGAAACAATTATAAAAACCTATGTGAGTATAGGGACTTAGTATATTAACTCTGTTCTTTGTTGTCAAACATAAGTAAATAATTCAATTTATGCAAATCAATATTAAAAATATCCTTTACTTTAATTTTCACTCTATAAAACTTCATGAAAGATTTAAATTATACCACTAAATACATTTTATGAATAACACTTGTGTATTATTATATACTGAAATTGCATAATTATAGATCTAGTTATTCAATTTTCAGCCATAAGTAGCTTTCATTCTGAAATAAGTTCTCTATCTAAATGTACTATGAACTCTACAAATCAGACGTGTCTTCTCAATTTTGTTTCTACATCTGACATTGTTCTAACAACATTTAATTTTGTTATTTTGCATGTAAAATTTTTTCCCTTAAGTTTAGCCCATTATAGCCACATCAGGCTCCATTAAATAGTATACGTATATGTATCTGCTATATATGTATATTCAATCCAATCCTTAGTTAAAATTAAAAAAAATATTGCAAAAATTAAATCAAAGTCAGGCCTTTTTCTAAATTAACGCTCTTTTTCACCTCACTCCATTTTGAACCTTTTAAAAATATATGCCATTATTCATAACATATTTTGAAACATATCAATTTTTTTTAATAAATGTGTTTTAAAATTTATGTATTTCAAAAAGAAGAAAAATACAATGCTTAGCTTCATTTCTAATACTGACTGTGTTCTAAATATTATTTGGGAATAAGAAACTATAATTCCAAATGGATAATTAACACAATCTAATTTGCCTAATAGCAAAATAATTTAGATAATTTCCTTCTCTTCCTCACATTTCTTTATTACAATATTTAATTTAGTGTTAAATAATTGTGTTTGATTTGAGTGACAATCTTAAAATATTGTTAATGAAATCCCTTGATAGATTTTAAGCATGTACTCATTGTATGGCTTCTAACTTTAAATGAATATGAATTAAGTTTTTTTGTACACTTCATGAAAATGTCTCATTAAGCCATTAAAATTGTCCAAATTTACTACAACCTCAATAAGATGATAAGTTGAAATAAATAACACTTAAAAGTTATAATTAATTTTGAAGAATAATGTTTATCAAATTACTAATATTGGTATTAATTCTTTTTTATGTCAAAGTGCATTCTTTTATCAGACTTTGCAACCAAAATAACTACATTAGTGTTAGCATATGAGATATTTTATATTTTCTTGCAAAATTTGTTTCTAAATTTCTTCTTTTCTTGCTATATATGTTTCTAAACAAACAAGCAAAACTAGTTTCAATTAACACAACTACTACTGGTTAGCATAACTGGAATTAGTAACTGTTACCCAACCCAAATCAGTTCCCTTAATGTAAAATACTTCATTTCAAAATATGGAAGAATTTAAAATTTTACAAATTGCTACATAGAATTCAAAAAGTTAATATGAATTCTATTCTGGACTTTAATTCATAAATGAGCTGCTGTGGATCCCATGGTATATTGATTTACAGAAATGGTTGCCCCAAGTTATCTTAGTCATCCACTCTTTATTAGTTTTTTCTTTATTGTAATGTGCAGGGTTGGAACAGCATGCCAAACTACTTTAAAATGAAATGTCTGCTTCAGCCTGCTCCAAAATGCTGTTTTTACCCAAAATTGTACCAAGTTGTTTCAAAACTCTAGCAATTTTCATTGAGCAAAAATGTGAAAATTCGACACTAAATTAGTGCAATAGGAAGCTATCAATAAATGAGGAGGTTGATTTAACATAAAATTGTTGTAATTAGAGTGTGTTAAAAAGTAATACCTAATATTTTGTAAACTTGTGTTGTTATAGCATTGTGTCGAAAATATACTAAACTACCAACTAAACTCATTGGGGCGACATAGAGGGTCAAGGCCTACTGTACCCATTTCAGTTTTCTTCACCTTGGAGTGCAGGAGCAGATGTTCCGGTTGGTTGGTCGACCAAGCATTGAACAACCTCAAGTGTTTAGTCCCCTCCAAGCATGCTTGGTACTCGTTCTATTGGCCCACTGAAGAGATGAAAGGCTGGGTCCACCTTGCCCAGTCCGAGGATCGAACCCAGGACCTGTGGCATGAGAGGGCAAAGCACTGCCACTCAGCCACTGGGCATCTGAAATATAGGAATTAGAAAAAAAATGTTAGAGTATTTTTAGAAACAATAGTAAAGCAATGTGGAATTACAATGAAATCAAGAGTTTCAAAAAGTCATTTTTGAATGAAAGGTTAACAAATAGTTGTTACTAAAACCAAAATTTGTATGCTATAATAATACCATAAAAAATATCAGATTTCAGAAATCCTTGTTGAGATAGCAGAAAAAGAGAAAATCACTTAGATATACGATAGAATCATCACAAATCAAAGTGTTATAAAGTACTCAAATACAAAATTTTATATAATTCAATTATATTAAAGTTATATTATATTCAATATTATATTATATTCAATCATATTAAAAGTTTTGGAATTTGAAAAAACCATGTGAGAATAGATGAAAAAAAAGTCAATTATTGCCAAAAAAAACGACCACTAAACAATTAGGACTTGTGATGGTATTGCCACTAATGTAGTGCATCAACAAGTGAAAACTCAATATTAACGTTTCATAATAGCATATTAATGATATCCTAAGTTGTAAAACTTCTTTGAAATGGCAGACAAGCAATATATAACTGCTGAAAAACGATTGGAAAACCAGGATTAGAATTTCTTCTTATAGACCAAAGTGGTTGACCAAAATGAAAGAGCATGTAAGGTTGAAATTTTCCATCCAAAAGTCAAAGGGTATCCCACAAACCCTACCTAAATGAACTCTGCAATGATGATGTAATACATTATGGATGATGTGTGTGGTCAGGGCCAGGAAAAATTTCTTTCATTTTGTATTTTCGGTTGCTTTTTCTTTCTGGCAGGGCATTACTCATAATTTTTCCCCTTTTTTTATTTTTTTGCTTGTGAGTTAATTTTTCTTTATATATTAAACTAAATACGGCAATAATTTTATTTTTAAGGTCTTTACATATTGTCAAACACTCTAAATAACTTTTAAGCATAAATAGGTTTTCTAAATAGATATTTCTCTTATGATTGTCCAAGATATATTTTCTACTGATAAAAGTAAAGCATAGCTTTCATTAAATCAAATTTGGATAATTAAGGATTTTTTTAAAGCAAGAAATGAAATGAAAATAAAAATTATCACTGAATTACAGTGCATTAAAGAAAAAATTGTGTCTTAAATATTGTAGCTAAAGATAATTTTAAAACTTATTTATCTTTAAGAGGTATTTATTGCATTTTTTTTTTTTTTTTTTNTTTTTTTTTTTTTTTTTTTTTTGCATTCATTAAATGCATATTTGTTTATCATTAACTTATATTTTTATTAAACTAATTAACATTTTCTCCGACATTTGAATCTTATTATTTTTTGTTTTTACGATCATTTTTTATTGTTTTTTGAGCATTTATTTTTGCATATTTTAGGAATTTTTAGGTCATCAGCATTATTGTCCTGGTGATGTGACGGTAAATTAAGTTTATTTTAAATTAGGATTTATATTTAGTTTTTGACTTATAAAATTAGTTAAAAGAAATATGCATTATTTGCATATTTAAATATGATTTAAGCCGCTTTTTTAGATTTTATTTCTTCAAGAAACCAGTTCAGTAAAGTTTTTTCAGTAATAAATTTAAATAATTTAATATTTTAAGTAATTTTACAAGCGCTATGCACAAAATATAAAAATTATTTGCTTCATAAACCAAATATGCTTGCTTCAAAGCNATTAAAGCCGTTTTTTAGATTCAGTAAAGTTTTTTCAGTAATAAATTTAAATAATTTAATATTTTAAGTAATTTTACAAGCGCTATGCACAAAATATAAAAATTATTTGCTTCATAAACCAAATATGCTTGCTTCAAAGCACAGCTTTTCTGCTCCAAAATGGTTATGCTGCTGTTCCATCTCAGCAAGTGTTATTATTAAATTTACAAACACAATAATTTGGCTGTTAGTCTTAAGTAGACCATGAATTTTTTTCAAAAGATTAGTTTTCACAGGTCTAACTTTTCATCACTTACAACACTCTTCAACCCATTAAACAACTTAAGTTATATTAGCACTTATTATATTTTCTGACATGCACTGTCATATAGGACACTAGTCTTTAGAGAATCATTTGATTATTATCTATTTTAGATTACCTGCTCTTCGGTCATTACAGCCATCGATCACTGAAGAACTGTTCTTCTCTGGTTTAATTGGAAACGTTCAAATTGACAGCATCATTCCTTACATTTTAAGTATGGATTCCAGTGAATACACCCCAGAAATGAGTAAGCATATTATTATTTATTATTATTATTATTTTTTTTGGTGTTTAGTGATATTTTACTTCAATTTCTTTAAGTGATAAATTTATTCTATTAAGTGATTTTACATGTTTTTAAAGTTAAGAAATACTTTAAAAACACCATATTTCTCATTATGGTTTCTTTAAAGAGTTTCCTATTCTATCCCAATTAATAAAATAGTTTTAACACTCTCAACTTTTTTCATAAGCTTAGAATTAAGCCACAAAGGTAATGATTAGGAATTACTGCTAATGATATGTATCTTTTTAATAGTTGTTAAAATGAAGCCATAGGTGAGAGAAAGTATCAAAAATTTATAATTGGAAAAATCCATATTGTGGTTAATTAAAGTAGAGAGAATTAATTCTTCAAAATACTGTTATTTTGTCTCATGAAACTTGACAACTAATGTTGGAATGTTGATTTTTTTTTGTTGCAATTGTTATTAAAATTCTTACTTATGTATACACGCATCACCCATTGTGAGGGCCAAGAAACTAGCCTCATTTTTTAGTGCTCTATTTTTTAAAGATCTTAGTTGGAATCAGCGGTCGGAAATAGCGCACTACAAGTAATGAAACTACTGTAGTCGCCATTTTGTTGTAGCGCAGTGTACTACTTTTTTTTAAACAAAAAAGTAGTGTAGTGAATAGTGCGATACAAAAAACAGTAGTTTATAGTGATTCCTGGCAACTACTTTTAATGTTAATTTTAGAAAGAAACACAATTCTAATGCAACTAATTTTTTGAATTTGATGGGTACAAATCTTTGCTGGTCGATCAATGGATGCAATGAAAATGACCCTGTAGCTGTAACTGAGTGTTAATAAAAATTACGTATTTAAAACTACTTAGAACTGATATTTAAACTAGATAATTAATCGATTTGGTCACACTTTCGCATGCAAATGCTCACTCATGAAGCATTGATGTTATTTAAAAGGAAAGAAACGTATTTTCGATATACTTAATTTTTTAGAGGAAATAAAAAAGCATTCAACAATTTAAAAAATTGCAAGTAGTTGATACTTTTGCATTTCTTAAATTAAATATTTACTGTCGGAAAAGGCATAAAAAGTGGAAGGTTAGATAAATAAATTTGAAAACAATTTTTGAAATAAGAAACTTGCTCATGTAAGCATGAATAAATATTTCTTAATTATTCCCTTATATTTAATGTAAGCCAATTTCTTATTTAAAACCATTCAGAACTTGAGTGTAAATTAAGTTTTCAGCAAAGCTCATCTTCTTAAAGTAGTGAAGTAGTTACTACAACAATTCCAAAGTAGTTTGTAGTCATTACATTAAATAACAAGTTGTTGTAGTTTACTGTATTTGAAACAAAGTAGTTGTAGTAAACTACAAAAATAATGTATTTTTTCAACTACTGGTTGGAATGCTGTGTAATTTTGAGCTTGTCACATTACATGGCTAGAACTCGAACTACTCTCTCCAAATCACAGTCAACAAGAGGACTTTCAGCCACTGCATATTTAATGTGTACCTTGCTGAATACACATGCTCGTAATTTCGTCGGCTGCCAGGATCCAACTTTTGATCTTAGCTCTCCTCCAGCAGTGTGAGAGATGTCTTACTGATGGTGCCACTTAATAACAAATTAGGAACAAATAATTTACTATGGGTCGGAAGTGTTATTTTATGAATTAGTACTTTATATTAATAAAAAAAAAATTTCTTTTTGTTGTGTAGGAATAAAGATTTTGTTTTACCAATCTTTAAGATATAGTGTGTTTTGTTACAATTTTTAAATTTTTTGTCAAAAATGAAGTCAAAGACGTATATGCATTAGAGGTTGCCAATTAATATTTTAACGAGGAAAAAATGAAAGTGCTATTGAAATCTATTGAGGAAGATGTGATTGAAAACATCAAAATCTGTATGATTGTTGGAGAAAACAGAAAGGAGTTGCAAAGAAATTATTTGAAAGACCTCGGTATTTTATAAAACTAGCAACTAGCATGGCTTCTGTCTTGCCTTTGTCAGTGGTGATTCAACAAATTCCAATTGCAGTCACATGATTTCTCCTTGCTTAAATATTAAATAGGGACATCGAATGTGTATAATTTTGACTTCACGCAAAGTTTATTTTTCGCAAAGTTTCTATAAAATTTTATTAAAAATAAACTTCAAAAACTCTGCACACTAGAGGTTGCAAATTAATGTTTTTTTGGGGGGGAAATAAAAAAATTTGTTTCCTTATATGATAAATTATAACTGAGGTCAGGAAGACCAAAGGACAAATTAAAATTATTAAAAAAAAGTATTTGTTTGTGTAGTAGGATTAGAATGTGTTCCCCCTTTGATTGAAACTGCCTAAAATTTTTAAGATTCATATTAAAGTTAGGATTCATAATCAAGTAGACTATTTTTAAATAATTTTAGTCCNATTAAAAATATTAAAAAAAAGTATTTTTGTGTAGTAGGATTAGAATGTGTTCCCCCTTTGATTGAAACTGCCTAAAATTTTTAAGATTCATATTAAAGTTAGGATTCATAATCAAGTTGACTATTTTTAAATAATTTTAGTCCCTCTTTTGCTCTTTTTAACCTTAATAAAGATTGGTCAGAATTTGAATGCCTTTTTGTTTTTTCTTAGTTAAATATCAGTTGGCAACTATTTATTATTTTCTTCATTTTTTACCAGAATTCTGATTATATACATTAAGGGCAATCATTATGGAACATGTATTTTCTATATTACAGTGAAGCCTCTATTTAGTGGACGCTCTTGCAAAAAAATTGTCCGTTTCAAGAGCTTTCTGTTTACAAGAAGGGTACACTAATAACGAAGTTTAAATTCACAAATTGTTTTTAGAGTTATTGCTATGACCTAAAAATAAATAATCTGTAATAACTGTTTGCATCGATATTTATTTCAACTTTGAAAATTATGATATTGACAATACAAAAAGAATAGATGAAGAATGATGATTAGATTTCTGTCCTCTCTTTTTCTTTAACCCAGCTGTATTAAATTCAGGAATTAAAGTGATTAGAAGAAGAGGAAAAAATTTTCAGTGTTGGAGGGCAATGAAGAACATTTAGTGAATCATTTCAACTTGTGGGGTCTCATCCAGATGAAAAGATCAAAAGATATCACTATCCAGAATATTTCACAGGACCAGTAAAAATTTTTCTCCTTTTTTTACAAAGATATAGATAGGTGACAGGAGAATGATTGATTCTTTAATTGTAAAATAGCTTAACAATATTTTTAAGTCTTAGATTAGGCAAAAAATTTACATGCTTTAAAGATAATGGAACGATGCATTTTTTTCCAATCTGAAATGGAAGTATTTTTTTTTTTAACTTAGAAAAAGTGAATGAAGTGGGTTTGAAGAGATGAAAACAATATTTCAAGGCATATGTGACTGTCCGCTTTGTGAAGATGGTACATATTCATCATATTATTCATACAAGATTCATGGGAAATTAAAAAAAGAGACCAGAATGAGGGGCTTTTATAGGGATGTCCATAATATGAGGTTTCACTGTATTTGTTTTTGTTCTTGACAAATAAGTAATTTTATTCTATAACTTTACTACATAGGTTCCCATCTTGGAGAACATGTGCCAGGGAGTAATCTTCCACAGTGGTAAATTTTCCAATTTGTATTTTAATTCTTTTCTTTCTTTACATTATCTTTCTACTTTTAAAATTCCAGTGCTAGTATATGTTTTTTGGAGCTATCATGCTTTGTAAACGATCTTGATTGTAAGTCCCAGATGTTTAATAAATTATTTTATATAGCTGTTAAAAATAACTTGTAAGTACTTTGTAACATAAATTACTTTACAGTTCTTCAAGTTTTATTTTATTTTTAAGAAGAAGATTAAAAAAAAATATTTCCAATGCGAATCTTAAATCTGTTTTACATTATTTTAAAATTAATATTATTTTTAACAATAAAAATTTATTAAGATAATTTTGAAAAACAAAATGTTAAGTAACTCCTATTGATACACATGAGTGGAATCCACATCTATGTTGACAGGGATGTATATGTGAGGTCCACCAAATATTTTTCGTGAAAGGAAAGTTTAAAAAGAAGCTACTTTTTTGAAGTTTATTTGTTCTAAATTCATTTAACTAACTTGAATGAAATTTAATGAAATAATTTCAATTAAATTTGGTTAAATGTGTATTTAAGTTTATTTTTGAAAGATAAAATAACATCAATACCAAAAATATAAATATTTGCCTTACAATTCAAATTGTTTTAGATCAGTAGTAAATAAAAAACAAAAAATATCTATAAAAACTAATATTTTGCATGTGAATTGTCGTTGGATTAAAGAAATTTTTAGTGTTATGGAGCTACCTCTCAAATTTTTAGTGTCTAAGATTTGAATCTATCCATTGACTTCATACCAAATTTACATAAATAATTTAGTTCCTTTTTTCTATTTTGTTCTTTTTTTTTATTTAATGATTGATTTTAATAGCCTATTTTTTTGTTTTGTGTGCTCCCATTTTGTTACTTTTAACTATTGCAGTTAATAAACATCAATGGTAAAGTTAAATGCTAAATTAAATCCAATGAAGGTTAAAGAAATTATTGTAGAGTGTGGTGGCCATAAGCAAATGTTTTCAGAAAGGAGTTTTATATTAGTGATTCATTATGCACAATTTGTTATGTTTTTAATCATAAAAAATTTATTTTTTGAATTGTTTTACTAAATATAGTTTGAAACATGCAGAGTTATTCCAAAACAAATGTGCAGTGAAACCTCTTAGAAAAACCACTTCTATGTAGCGACCTCCTCTATTTACGGCCATTTTTGGGAGGCAGGGAATTTTTTCTATAGACTTTGTGTAGAAGGAAACCTTTAAGAGAGACCATAAAAACCTCTCCCAGCAAATAGGCTAACCTCTACACTAAATGCTTAAAAGGTCTAATAAGGTAACAGAAAAAAATATCAAAACCATAAATATTAAGTAGGTTAAAATGTATTCAAAATATTTGTGTAGGTTTTTATTTAGAGAGCTCTTTTTGTCGATCTCTGAAAGAGATCTACGACCTCATGTTGCTGTCAGAATGCACTACAGACAATGTTATCTGTGATTTGTTTTTAGAGTTGAAAGTTAAATAAGAAAGAAAAGTTATTGTAGCATTATTAAGCATCTCAAAAGAACAAACGTTTTCTCATTTTTTAATTTTTATTGTCATTAAATTTTATTCATCAATTAATCTTTATTAAAAATCATATAAATTTTATTCAGTTTTCATGACTCCAACACAAGTGGAATTTCCGCACCGAGGAAATGACACTGACTTAAGGGAAAATTGTTTGTAAAAAATCATATACTACTGATATCATTTTAAAGTTGATGAAGGTAACCCCTAAAAGCAACCGAACTCCATAAATGACCATTTTACTATGGAACAAGGAGTAGTTACTCCCGAGAGTTATCACTGTATTTGCTTTAGATTATTATAAGATTAATGATAAAATTAAATAATGAATGTTTTAAGGCTGTTTTTCATTCAACTGTCGGCATTTTGTTAAAAGTATTTTTAAAAAACTACTTTCAACATTTTAAATTATATTACATAAGATTTTTAATATCAAAGTTTTTAATAATTGCCCTATATTTATTTTTAAATTACATTTTCTAATTAAACAGAAAATTTGGGGTCGTCATTATTTCATAACAAGCCCTTCAATTCATTTATTGTTTATATTTTTCATACCATGTTAATTATATTGTTATAGCGTTATGTTTCTATTACTAAGTATTTTGAGTGATGTTATAAATAGCTATATAGAAAATTTTATTTTTCAGATCAATTGAAGTGACCTTCCCACAAGTGTGACATTTCATTTTATTATCTTTCTCTTCTTCATGTTTTGGTCTTGTATACAAGTGACTTTAAGCTCTGTTAGTTTTACTGGATGCTGCTTCTTAGTAGAAATTAAAGAGAAGACATTTTCCATGCCCGGTTTTTTAAATAAATGATATTTTAGTAAAGTGTTGTACATTTTATTAAGACTAAAGGGATGGGATGGGTAACTCAACCCATATAACTTTTGTTGAAGTATAAAAAAGTTAATATTTTGTACATTTTTGTTCAAGTTTCCCTGTTCCTATGTTACCGGTGCAAATATGGTTTTATTTAATGCCATACTGTTCTGTTTTGTGAATACACAGAAGTTATTTACTAAGAGAAGAAATTTATGAACTTTACAAGTAGTTTAAAGTTCATATCTCAATACTCCATATTCATACTCAACATCTGGACAAAAGTGTTAAAATGCAACACAGTTTGAATTTATTTGTACATAACCTAAAAAGTAATGTCTTTCTTGTGTAATGTTGTTTGTGACTGCCATTTATGTTTTTAGATTGTACAGTTATTATTATTATTATAACGCAAAACTTTATATTATTGTTTAACTATTATATTCAATTTGTGTTAAAATTTGTTAATTTTATTTCATTTAGATATAAATGATACGTTAATGAAACATGCTTGTATATTTTCATGACCTGGTATCATAAATTTTGAGTAATAATTAGTTTATTTATACATAAGCAAAGATACGGTTATAAGAAACATAACTTAGAAGCCTTTGGTGCTGCAGTATTCTGTGTAAAATGTTAGAGCTGTGATATTTCCGATGTCTGTGGTGTCATGATATATTCCTAGCATGTGCTATTTGAGTAAACTATGTTCATTTTCTGGTATTCATTCTCTAGATATCCACAGATGCCTACTTGCTCTGCTTTGTGAGGAAATTTTTTCCAATAATAGCAAAATTTAAGTTTTAATTCCTGATAATTCATTTGATTCCTGATTAAGTACATTGAAAGATAACCAATTTTTTACACCACTACATAGAATAAATTTTTGTACACAACTACATTATAAACATGTATATAAAATTCCACTTAATTCCCATTATTTTATGGTAAGGTGTTTTCAAAATTAAACAAATTCTGAAAATTTTAGTGTTAATTATTCTACCACTTTCTAAAATATTTTGCTGAAAGCAGTGCTGTTGGCATCCCTGGATATATCTATACATAGATATCTACTATATATCTAGATCTATATATTAACTCAAAATATTTTTATCTCTAAAATGCCTTGTATAATTCTAGATGTCAATTCCAATGGAATTAAGGCTGTATTTTTTGCTCTTATTCTAGTCCTTTGAGTAATAATCTAAAACTGTAAAAAAATAATAATTTATTCTTCATAAGACTTGAGTGATTCTATTGTCTTATATTTCTATCAAAAGTATTTTTCTGTGTAATCAATTTGTTTTTAACATTGTAACTGAATTGTGTATGTTAGCTATAAGGTGATATTTGTTAGTCAAAGCTAGTTTTACCTTTACATTTTTATGTAAATACTATTAATATCAGCACAAGTTTTAGTTGATTACATTTTATTTTTACCTATATGGCAATGTTTTGACCTAAGGAATTTTTACAAATATTTTGTTCTCAGTTCAGCCCCTAAAGCTTTTTATCAAATTTTAAAAGAAAATTTAAAATTGAAGTTTTTTTAATATCCTCTGTACCAATTGGTATTTATTATTCTTTATTTCTTTCTTCCTTCTCTTTATTTTTCTCTAAAGTTGTATTAAATTTTTTAGCTGACTATAATGACCCATTTTGTTACATAAAATAAATATACTTCCCTGAATTTAAAATTAAGTTTCTAACATTCAATCATCTATCCTGTATACACATTTTTGTAGTTGAAGAATCGCTTCAAAAACATTGAGTTTTGTAACACCAATCAAGGAAAGTCCAAGGTATACAGTGTAGCACTCATATTAGCTAAACTTTAAATAAATTTTAGCCATTCTTATTCTCAATATTAAAAGCAAATTAGATCTCATTTTCAATGTTATTAGATTGATAACCTATGAGATATTAAGAGAAAAAAAATTATCCCCCCTTGAATTTTTTTTTCAAAGTCATTTACTTTAATCAAATTATAATTCAAGTTATTACTTAAAACAGTCATTTGTAATATGAGAAATTTTTTTCTAGAAATAATATTTTTTTTCACTGTATGTTAATTTTTTCAATTTTCTTAAAAATAAAACTATCACTGTTGAGTTATTTTATTAAATTTTTTGCTCAGTTATCAATTTTTTTCATTTAAATGCAAAATGATGAAAAGTACAAAAAATAATTAGTGAGCAAGAGTTATATCAAAGAAATTAAATATAATCTCTGTTAAACATTTAAACCATTTTTCTTAGGTATATTAGGTGTTATTTTTAATTTATTAGACCCCTATGTTAATGATGTAGATAACAGATATCTACACATGGAAGTAAAATTTTAAATTCTGTGGAATTTTAATTTAAATCTTTTTAGTAAATTTTCGATCTGCTTATCTAAATGCATTTTCTTTTGTTTGATTTTGCAAAAAATAGTTGAAACACTGTAAATTTCTTTTTTAATGGGTTAGTTGTTAATGATGCCTTTAGAAATTTTTTTTGTTATTTGTTGTTTTAGTTATAGTTTATACCTTTTTTTCTTCTCTTTTCTAAAATTTTCTGAATCGTTTGTTTTCAATGGTTAAAATTAATCCGGTGATACAGAATCTAAATCTCTCTGTTGTCAATCATTATGCAAACTTTATATTAACCCCATGAAATTTTAGAATGTATTGTGGTAATAACATTATTTAAAAACACGGCTTTAATTTATTTCAAAACTTTCAGATTAGATTTTTTTCTTCTGTCTGATGACATAATCACCGATTATGAAATAACATGGCTTTCTTCCTTTTAAAATTTGTTATTATGAATGGCATAAAATTATGCTGAACAAAATATGTGATCAAAAAGTAAATTTACAAAGACGGTAAACTTATTAGTTATTTGTATTTTTCCCTGTTTTATTTCTTCTTAACATTGATTTCAATTTTTATATTTTAACCAAGTATGTATTCAAAAATATAAGGCCAGATATTCTTAAAAAATATTTTTAAAAAACTAGCAAATTTAACTGTAAGTTATGATCATTCTGTGTAACCAAGGGGTTGACACCCTAAAAGTTATTATGCAAATAGTTTAAAACTATTTTTTGTTTATTTTTACATAAATGATATCTTTACTTTTGCATAAATGATATCCTAAAACTAAGAACTAACATATTTTTTTAACTTTTTCAATAATTTTGCATTAATAATTTTGCAATATTTTTGTATTGCTGATTTTCCTTAAAATCAGTCCAACTTTATTGAAATAGAAATTAATTTTTTTTTCTAAACAACTTTAGAAACTCTGACAGTTTTGTTAATTCTCACACATTTATTACTACTTATAACAACACTTTTTAAAAACTAGTATCCTTCAAGTATTGTTTTAGAATGTGTAATAACCTGTGCCGAAAGTTTTAATGACCTATATTTTTATCCATTTATTTTAAGTATTTAAACCAGGCAGAATAATAAAAAATCTGTGTTATATTTTGAAAACATGAATAAATATTTGAAGTAACTTATTTGAATATTATATAACCACAGGTCCTTATCTCATTTACTCAGTACTCAGATTTTTAGTTATAAAAATATATTTTTTTAATACATACAACAAACGTACTTTTGAATGGAATTTTTTGTATTTGCTTGAACCGAACTTTAAAAAAAATATTTTTAAAGGTTTTTTTTTAGCTGCATACATATGCTCTTTAAAGCTGAATATTTTTAAGGAAACTTATCTGGTTTTTAAGATAACGTTACAATTTCCAAGACCAAGTCACATCACAAAATGCCATAGAATGTTTTAAGCTTGAAAATAATTTCCTTTAATTTTTAAAAAGTTATAATAATATAATGCATAAGACCTACTTTCCATGTGAAATATATCATGTGCAATAATGTAAATGTCAGCTCACCAAAGCCAAATATACCAGGTTTTGTATTTATGTAAATTTCATTTACCTTCTTATATGTGGGTGTGTTACAAGCAATTAAAATTATTTGTGCCATGGATTCACCCTGTTTGATATCTAAAATATCTGACCCTACATTCCTCAATATCACCTACACGTCTCCCTGGTAAAAGGTATCAATTAGACCAGCATCCGCTTTTAAATGTTTTCTCATAACCACACCTGATTTGTTCATTAATACACCAACTTTACGCATGGATAGCTTCATAACTACTTGAGTATTTTATATTGCTTGTTAATTGTGCTGAATTGTTTTATTCTCTGGAAAAAACTGATCCGTGTCTAGAGATACTTTTGGTTCATATGCTGCAGAAGAAAATGCATATTTTAAATATTATATCATGTTGATTATAATTTTTAAATGCAACCGCAAAGCAAGGAGTATATTATAAATCTGTTAAAAAAACCTTTAAATTCTCAGCAACGACAAAAGAAAACGTTTTTTGTTAAAATTTTAAAAAGGTCCAAAGTTTTTTAAGATTACCAAGTTTTAAAAAATTAAAGAAATAATTCAAATAAAGATGATCAACAAAATAGAATTATTATGCACTACAAAATATGAGTACAAGCTAAGTAAAACCTAAATATGTACCAATTTAAAAAAAAATATGTACCAATTAAAACAAAAATATGTACAAATCTATAACAACAAAAAATTTTGTACAATATTCATTATGTACGATATGTATCACAATCAAACTCAAAGTCTAACAGTTTTATAAAGGTAATTGCACATTTTCTTTTTGGCTCATGACCTCTAAAACTTTGTAGATCATAAACTTCTGAAGGCGTCATCAAGTCCTGTAGTTCTTTCGTAAAAGTATCCACAGTCAAACTAGATTTTTTTGTACAGGAAAGCCTCATCAAAACAAAAGTCCTGCATATCGAATATCACTGATTCTTGAGGCACAGAATGCTTTCTAGTGGAGTAAAATTTCCTTGAGGCACAATTTTGTACTTAAATATATAAATACATTTTAGTCATGATTGCTATTACTCTAAAACAAGATCACTGATTTTTGACTTGCTTCTATTTTTGTTTTTTTTCTAGATAATGATTACTAGCTATTTTGTAATTGCTTACAAAGAGCTTATGTATTACTTATGGATAGTGAGAATTGTATGGTAGCTAAAATATAATGTTTTAATTAAATGCTATACTTAATATTTTTGCTGTTTGTTGTACGTATAAAGTAGTCATTTTCAATTAATAATAGCTCTAGTGATGTTATAATTAAAACTACTCTGATTTTTGCATTAAATTTCATTCAGTTTTAAGAAAAATCTTGACTGTTTATATTTAATTTTATAACTACATCTTTTAAATTTTAATAGTCTTTAAATTTTGGCATAACTATTTAATTTAATTAGGGTAAACTTAACAGAAGCACTACAAAGCAAATGTTTATTTTTTATTTATTTATTTTTACTTTGAATCCGAAAAGTTGGTTTTCATAATTTGTGCAGTTTTGCAATTAAGCATGAAATATAATTTAAGTGACTACATGATTTTTTAATTGTGTCAAAATAATGTATTGCAAATTGCCACATACTTTAAAACTTTTCTTCATAAATAAACTTCGGGAACTTTCAAATTGGTAGCTTTATTTTTTTTTCAGGTTATTTTTTTCTTATAAGTATATAATAAAATTCTTATTTTTTTCTTTCTAAATTATTTTGTTACTTCATTTTAAATTCGTCTAAATGTTTTGATCTCATGTAAAGTTTTCTTGTATGAAAATGATTATACTCAATTAATTTCATTTTTGGTGTAAAAAGTAATCATTTTTATTGATTTTTTAATGTTTCACTGTATTTGTTTGGTTACCTAACTCATCCCTTATTGTGTAGTATTGTATAAAGGCACAAAACTTCAGTATTTAGAAGTATCTCAGGTTTTATATAAACTTTCCAAAAGATGCGCTTTGAAATTTGCTCTGTTCGTAAAAATCTTTCAAGCCTTGTCCATTTTCATTACAGGTTTATTGTAACCTATGTAAGAGACTACATTGTAACATTTTCATCTGATCCCAGTTGCTGTGTAGCTCAGCAAAAGTAAATGGTTGTATACAGATAATTTATATGACTGATAGCCATGAAAATTGAGGATTAAATATATTTGAGTGATTTTTGTCGTATTTTCTTTCTTTAAGTTTTAATGATTTTAGCTTGCAAAAGTATCAACTGTAGCATTTTTATTAAATCTTGCATTTTTTTAAAATTTTGGATTTTTCTATTCCCATTGCTAAACGTTTTCAGTGGAAAGAAACACAGAGACCTTCATTTTATCTACACTCTCAGAAAAATCAATTCATTGTTGTTTAACACTTGTATCTTAAAGCATACTAGTGCAAATTTGATGTCGTAATATAGTGTTAAATTGGATACCTTGTAACCTGGAAGACACCTGGGTTATTACTCCCCTTCTTCAAGAATCTGCATCTTTGATATATGAAGCAACGAGGTGCAGGAATCTGGGGGTGGTGGTTTAAGCCAAAGCTACTTGTTGTTTACTTTCAAAATGCTTTTAAATTTTTTATAAAATAAGTAAACTATGATATGTTCATATTACATTTATTTCAATTTTTGTTAACTTATAAATCTTAAAAAACATAAAATTTTGTAACATTTAGAGGACCTCTAGAAATATTGGGGCCTTAGAACCTGGGCCTCTCAGGTCTTGTGATGAATCAGACTGACGAAGTGGGTTATTTGAGATGGTCAGTGCCTTAGTTTGACACACAATTAAATGTATGGTTGATCGCAATTTAGTATAAACATATGGGTATTGAAATCATTGGTGTAACACTTGTTGAACTCTACTCCTACATTTCGCTCCTCTTTTGAATGGGAGGGATTACCAAGTTTTTCTTAAAGTAGTGTCATCAGAATAAAAGTGCACCCTGTGAATGGTTGCAGTTATTGTTTTTTCAATATGATGCTTGTGTAAGCACCTTTTCAAGAAATGTGCGGGCATATTTAGTACATTTCCTAACAAATGGAATGGGAAAAAATATGTTAAACGGCCAACGAGATCTCCAGATAAACAAGTCCAGAAGTTTCCATGCTATAAGTTCCACTGTCAATACTGACTTATTGCAAAATGTTGCACGACTCGACATTGAAAATTGAGCATTTTTTACCATATACACAATAGAGATTACTTTGGGCAATTTAGTTTTTTATGTAGAGACATTTATTTATTTTTTTTCTATTTAATTTTCTAGCAAATATCTCTGATTAATATATCAATAATTTAATTGATATTATTAATTTAATTGTTAACTTTTATCACCTATGTATTATCCGTTGAAATTTTTTCTGTTGCTATTGTTTATGTACATGCGCATGATTGGTATTTTTCCTTAGTCTATGAGAATTTTTTTAAAAACTGCTAGAATTTCTACATCTTAAAGAGAAAAAAATGCTTAAAATTGTAGGAATTATTTTCGCTTTTCTTTTTTCTTCTTCTCTTCTGAAACCCCAGGCCTCCTATTACGAAGGGGTTCCAAAAGCTCACATGAAAAGTGATTGGTGAAAGGAAAGCTCTGTTACTAACAAAATAAAAATAAACCTTTTTTAAAAAGCTTTAACTCTCACTCCAAACCTGGCATTTTATGATAAAAAATTTAAAATTTTGCATTTTAATAAATTTTTATTTTCTTTCAAATATTTTGTGAAAAGGAAACAGAGAGAGAGAAAAAAATGAAGATTGCATTGTTCAATCAATTCATGTCAAAGGGGAAGGAAAACAGTGATGGAAGTAGAAGCTTTGTTTGCAAATTATTATGAAATTTTAATTACGTTCGAAAAAACTATTAACACATTATTCTTGTGGAAAGCTTAAGATCCAAAATCGTTTACTTTATTGGTTTTAATAAAACAAATTCCTGCAAAAAATGTGTCTGTAAATTGCCGAATATTTATTTTAAAATTACCAACTTGATATATTCCCTAATGTATACACCATTCTAAAGATTTATCTGGCTATAAAAATATCATAAGCTCTTTAGAAGAACGATGTGGATTCGAATCCCAGCAGAGGTCGATTTTGGGGCCAGGATAGCCTGGTCGGTAGGGCGCTGGATCCATGTCCGAGAGTTCGTGTTCGACTCCCCGTGTAGTAAAGTGACTGATGCACGTTAAATCTGTTAAGTCGCTAAAGTCCTCCATGTTCCCATAACAAATCAATACCTCTGGGGATTCTGGATTGGAGATCGATCGTTCTCTGATTCTGGTCAAAATTACGATCTGTGGATGTATGAATGGGTTCGCCCTATAAACGGGTGTGACGTATGGTGTGGCAGAAGTCGAATTCTCGTCATAGATGGCGCCACAAAAAAACAAGAAACGCACACTCTACCTTAAATTTGCTCGGTTTAACCAAGCAGGCTTGCTACTATGGCAAGTGATATTAGAAACAACAACAACAGAAGAACGACTTTATAATTTTATATTATTATTAATAAGGCGAGAAAATAATTTATTTCTTTAAATGAAGCTTTTTAAAGAAAAAAATTACTAGAGCATTTATGTTAGCATTAATTATTTTATAAATTTGAAAAGCATTAGAAAATGCAATGTAATAAATATATTTTATTAACTTTTGTCCCAATCTTTTGGCTTATAGGCTTTAGATATACATATTGTTTGTATGAATTACGCTGTAATACGTGTGGAAGGAAATTTCACTAATACCAAATTACGAAAAAATATTTTTTTTTTTTTAAAAAAAAGTGCTTTAGGGAAATAAACTTTCTGATCAAAATATCTGGAGAGAGCAATTTAGACATTATCGAAAATTTTAAATATTTCACTTCTTAGAAAATCTTAACTCTCCCGCTCTAATTCATTTTTATTTTGTAACCGTCGTTGAACAGCCGATCCAATTTTCGGGTTTACGGCTTCTAAAAGCGGGGGTGCCATCCCCTCTGCAGAGGATCAAAATTGTGATGGCATGTCTTCGAATCATCCTTCAGGGATGTTTCCCAGACCGTCGCCAATAGCCCATTGTGCAGCTCTAGTGCGACGTAAATGAACAACAACGACTTCTGAAGTTCAACTCCGTATCCTTGTAATTTTGAACCCGATCCAGAAGACAAGGGAACTTCTGAATCAAATATTGGGAGAAATTTGCCTTCGTGGAGGTCTTTTTGATGGAACTAACCCGCATTTGCGTTACCTGGAGAAGAAAACCTCCCACTGTTAGCTTGACGGCAAGGAGACTCTAAAGCATGATCCGTCTCCCACTGAGAATATCTTAAGTCAGCACCGTGGTCGGTGCAAGCCGGATGCGGAATTCGTTTTGACCAGCTATCGCTGGAATTTGAACCCGGTTCACCTCATTAGAAGGTATCACAATGAAAAGTTAGTTTTCGAAACATTTGAATTCAACTCAAAATAATTTTTATCATAAAAAGAGTGGGAAATTATTTTCTCACTCCTTTCTTAAGATGGAAACAGAGTTCCCTCGGTCCTTGAAAAATATTAGAGGTGGTAATAAATTATGGTTAATGCTGAAAGATATTTTAAATTTGAACTTACCACTTTGTCGTTAAGTGGTTTAAAAGCTGGAATTCGCATGCATATATACTTTCTTTGGAAAAAAAATGTCGACATTTGTTTAATTTTCGTTACCACTTTTTAAAATTTACTAGGTCCGCGGGAACCCTGTGGAAACCAATTAACTTTTCTGTTTGGATTTGAAAGTTATCCTCAGAACAGTTTGGAGTGTACTTCTATAGCCTTAAAAGATTTTTAAAAAAGTCCCTCAGTGGACTGATCGTTAAGACATGGTTTCCAGTAGAACACTGAAGGCAAGCATCACTGGCTGAGATCAGTAAGCGGGTGGGTGACCACTTTGATCAGTTTGCGTAGGGACCAAGGATGCGCGGTGTCGGTCCTCGTTAAACTGTTCTGCAGTAAAGTGCTCGACTTCGCACCCATATCACCGGGCTACTGAAGCAGGGAGGCCATCCCCTCTGCAGAGGATCAAAATTGCGATGGCATCTCATTGAATCATTCCCAGACCAATAGCCCATTGTGCAGCTCTAGTGTTGTTGTTAATTTACGTCGCACTAGAGCTGCACAATGGGCTATTGGCGACGGTCTGGGAATCATCCCGGATGATGATCTGAAGACATGCCATCACAATTTTGATCCTCTGCAGAGGGGGTGGCGCCTCCGCTTCGGTAGCCCGACGACCTGCACGCGAAGTCGAGCACTTTACGGTAGCACAGTTTAACGAGGACCAATACTGCACACCCTCGGCCCCTACGCAGACTGATCCAAGTGGTCACCCACCCGCACACTGACTGTAGACAGCGATGCTTGACTTCGGTGATCTGCTGGGAACCGTGTCTTAACGATCAGTCCACTGCGGGACGCAGCTCTAGTGTGACGCAAAAATATGGTACCTACCTACCTATTAAAAAAATATTAAGTCCACAAAGAGTTAATCAACTTATTAACTGTAAAACTTCTTACAAAGGCTTACACGATTTCCGCTGAAAATAGCTGATGCACTGTTTAGAATGCCAATTTAAATACCTGGGAATATAAACCCAGCAATTTTGAAAATTTCCTTCCCTAAATCCCGGGTACCGCAATAGACTGATCGATAAGACACGGTTCCCAGTTCCCATCAGATCACTCAAGTTAAGCATCACTGGCTGCGGTCAGTGTGCGGGTGGGTGACCACTTGGATCAGTCTGCGTTGGGACCGAGGGTGTGCGGTATTAGTCCTCGTGAAACTGTTCTACCGTAAAGTGCTCGACTTCGCGTGCAGGTCGTCAGGCTACCAAAGCAGGGGAGCCATCCCATCTGCAGAGGATCAAAATTGTGATGGCATGTCTTCGCATCATCCTTAGAGATATTTCCCAGACCGTTGTCAATAGCCCATTGTGCAGCTCTAGTGCGACGTAAATGAATTACAACAACAACAACCCTAAATCCCGGGAATCTTTAGTATGGAGACTTACAGGTTCGAATGTAGCGGCTCTTCGGTACTTGAACCTAGTTTATCGGTTGATTCCACCATTGTATATGAAATGAATTTATAACCCCTTCGTGGATGTTAGGCAGCAAGCGGCCCCAAGAGCCAAGTTGAGGAATTAGGGTCGTGGATTTGTTGCTGTAGTTCATTTACGTCGCACTAAAGCTACACAATGGGCTATTGGCGACTGTCTGGGGAACATCCCTGAGGATGATCCGAGACATGCCATTACAATTTTGATCCTCTGCGGAGGGGATGGCACCCCCGTTTCGGTAGCCCGACGACCTGCACGCGAAGTCGAGCACTTTACGGTAGAACAATTTAACGAGGACGAATACCGCTCACCCTCGGTCCCAACGCAGACTAATCTATGTCGTCACCCACCCGCACACTGACCGCAGCCTGTGATGCTTGACTTCATTGATCTGCTGGGAACCGTGTCTTAACGATCAGTCCACTGCGGGACTTGGATTTTTGGAATAACAAGATAAGTAAAAATAAAATTCGTTTATTAAAAAATAAACATGCGTAGTAAGTTTTGAATTCAAGTAGTTTCTGGATAATATTTGAATTAAGCAAATCTAAATAAACATTGAAATAGTTATCTGTGAAGATTGAACTTGAAGATTATATTTAAATTTAGATTTCTCAATCGTTATTTTCTCGTAAATCTAAAAGTGTCTTAATTTCCTTCATCTATATTTATAAAAAAGCACCTTCGTGGATTTTTGGAAAACGAGGTAAGCAAAATCAGAATTCGTTTATTAAAAGTACGCGTACTAAATTTTGATTTCAAAAAATCTAAAGGATATTTGAATTATCCGATATTTGAATTTAACGAATCTAAATAAAGTATTCAAATAGATATCTATACCAAATGATCTTCAGGATTATAATTTTCAATATTCATTTTCTCGTAAACTTAAAACATAAGTTTCCCTAACAATGTATGTGTGTATACGTATATATAATAAATTTATATTAGTAATAAATAAGTACATTACTATCTCCGTAGAGTTTTGGAATAACGAGGTAAGGAAAAATAAAACTCGTTCATTTAAAATAATGTATACTAAATTTTGATTTCGAATAATCTCTAAATAATCCAACATTTGAATTTAGTAAATCTAACTAAAATATTCAAAAAGTTTTATGTATCAAATAATCTTTAAGATTTATGTTTTAGGATTTTCAAACTTTATTTTTCCATAAATTTTAAAAATTCAGATATCTTCAACTATATATTTAAGCACAATTAAATAAATAAATAATAAATTTGTAGGAGGAGTGTTCAGATTAGAAGTTGAGACAGAATTGAAATAAATTACGATACCACCATATACATGAGAGAGAGGGAAAATAGCGGATGCATATACAATTGTTACTTTTAAATATATTTAAGAATAGCTTAGCTTAGACAAAGTGTGCTGTAAAAAGTTCACAAGTTGAAATCTTTGTAGTTTTTGAAACCCATTATTACGTCATACGTAAGTCAAAAAGTAGTTCAAGCTTCTGATATTTTTTTCTCGAGATCAATTGCGAAACTTCTTATTTTCCTGCCCTAAATTGACCAAGATTTATAAAAAGAACTCTTTCACAAAATTAGTGGCTTAAAAGAGCTACTAAATCTAAAAACTGCTTAAGTAACATTAAAAACAGTTTATATGCAGTTTAATAATTACAGTTCAATATTACTTACGACTTAGAGATATAATTATGCCTTGAAAAGAAAAGAAATTAACTTAGACAACTTCACATAAAAAGCAAGTTATCTATAAAGGAGGATACTTTTTTTTATGAAAATAGTATTTATTTTGTATGAATGGTGTTAAAATTGAATTTTAAAAAAAAAATGGGTCAGTTCTGCTACTGGTGCTCGCTCTAAATTTCAACTTTTAAAATCGTTTGATCACCGACTTTTCGAACAATCCAGTTCATAATTTTCCCGTGGTGTCATTATTTTTCATTTAATGACAATTCTTTTATCGAAACTCTAAATAATTCTATCAGAAAAACTATAATATAAAAGCGCTTTTTTTTCCAAAATATACTGAAGTAATATTCCTAGCTCACAATAACGCAGAAAGTTATCTAAATAATCTGATAAAATTAATATTTATCGAGTTAAAAATGTCTGGATATTACGCTAAGCAATTGAAAAAAAAGATATTTAATAGTGTTTATATTGTCCTTGTTGTAATAAGTGAAAAATTAAGACTAATTATATTTCATATATTAAATTATACATCGAAAAACAGTAAAAAAAAAAAAAAAAAAAACTTCTTGAACGCTTAGTCCCTCAATTTATGATAAAACTAAACTTTGCTTTAAACTTATTTAAATTGTAGTGTAAGGTCTGTATGGTTTAGAAAGTTATTCTTAAAACTATACAAATTATATAACTACAGAAGAACTATATTTTATATTAACTACAGAGGGTACCGTTAGAAAATTTCCAACCCGAAAAATATTAAATATAAAAGTTTTGTTTTGACTATTTTTGTTACTCAAAAAACTTTACGTAGGAGTTCTAGTTGTTTTGCGCTTTTGAATAGATCACGTCGAACGTTGTGCTTTTGTTCTTTGAGAGACCTGTCAACAATAATCATCAAACGATTAGCAAATTATAAATAACTAAACCTGCTGCTACAGTTTTTGTCCTTATCCATTTTATTATATATTTCGTCTTAGTTGTAAAGCTTCATTTTGTCTTAATTTAAATTTTCATCTCGAGATCATATTTATATTCTTTTTACGTCTTTCTTCCTTTTTTTTTCCTTCCCTAATTAAATTTATGCCATGCCTTTTTTTTTCTTTTTGCTTTTTATGTTTTTCTAGTCCCTTTCTGTTTTTTTTTTTTTTTTTTTTTTTTTTTCCTCATTTCACTGTTTTTCTTTGTAATTTAGTTAGTTTGTACAGAACTTTGTGGAACTTTTTTCTTTTTTTAATGTTTCATCAGTTTTTGAATACCAATTTGTAGTTGGCCTAAATAATTTTTCGATATTATGCATATATTTTGTCTTAGTTAAATTGTTAAGCTTCTTTTTGACTTTAGTTAAATTTTCCTCTCGCGATCATATTTTTATTCTTTTTACGTCTCTCTACCTGTTTTTTTTTTTTCTTTTATCTTCACCAACTAAATTTTTGCCATGCTTCTTTTTTCTTTTTAATTTTCATTTATGTTTTTCTCGTCCCCTTTTTTTTCTCATTTCAGTGTTTATTTTATTTATTTTTTATTATTATTTATTTATTTATTTTTTTGTAATTTAGTTTGCGCAGAACTTTTTTTTTTCCTAATGTTTCATCTGTTTTTTAATACCAATTTGTAGTTAGCCTAAATAAATTTTCGATATTATGCATTTTACCTCAAAATAGCGCAAAAATTATTCATTTGATTATACATTTCGTCTTTGTTAAATTGTTGCGCTTCATTTTCGCTTTAATGAAATTTTCGTCTCGAGATCATATTTTTATTCTTTTTACGTCTTTCTTCCTTTTTTTTCGCTTTTATCTTCACTAATTGAATTTTTGCCATGCTTTTTTTTGCTTTTTATGTTTTTCTAGTCCCTTTCTGTTTCTTTTTTTTTTTTTTTTTTTCCCCTCTCCTTATTTCACTGTTTTTTTTTTGTAATTTAGTTAGTTTGCACAGAACTTTGTGGAACTTTTTTTTTTTGTTTCATCAGTTTGTGAATTTTTGAATACCAATTTGTAGCTGGCCTAAATAATTTTTCGATATTATCCATTTTACCTTAAAATAGTGCAAAAATTACTATATATTTCATTTTAATATATATTTTGTCTTAGTTAAATTGTTAAGCTTCATTTTGGCCTTAATTAAATTTTCATCTCGCCATCATATTTTTATTCTTTTTACGTCTTTCTACCTATTTTTTTTTCTTTTATTTTCACCAATTAAGTTTTTGCCATGCCTTTTTTTTCTTTTTGATTTTTATTTATGTTTTTCTTGTGCCTTTCCTTTTTTTTTTTCTTTTCTCATTTCAGTGTTTATTTTATTTATTTATTATTATTTCTTTGTAATTTAGTTTGCACAGAACTTTTTTTTTCCCTAATGTTTCATCAGTTTTTGAATACCGATAAATTGGCCTAAATAAATTTTCGATATTATGCATTTTACCTCAAAATAGTGCAAAAATTATTCATTTTATTATATATTTCGTCTTTGTTAAATTGTTGCGCTTCATTTTCGCTTTAATGAAATTTTCATCTCGAGATCATATTTTTATTCTTTTTACGTCCTTCTTCCTCTTTTTTTTTCTGTTATCTTCACTAATTAAATTTTTGCCATGCTTTTCTTTCTTTCTGCTTTTTATGTTTTTCTAGTCCCTTTCTTTTTCTTTTTTTTCTCATTTTATAGCGCTTTTTTTTTCTTTTTTTTTTTGTAATTTAGTTAGTTTACACAGAACTTTGCGGAACTTTTTTTTTTGTTTCATCAGTTTTTTAATACCAATTTGTAGCTGGCCTAAATAAATTTTCGATATTATGCATTCTGCTTCAAAATAGTGCTAAATTTCTTTTTTCAAACATAATGTCTTTCAAAACTTGATAACTTCTAATTCTTCATAACTTCTGTGCTCTGATTCTGTTTTGAAATATCCACTAATGATGAATACTCCTAAGAGCGCTAGTCAAATATGTTATGCAATATAGTATTAAAATACGTTACACAGTATCGTTACATAAGAATATTCCCTAAAAGGGGCAATCCTTAATCTGAATTTTAAATCTTCGTTCAGTGGCGCAATAAAGTCTTCGGCTATTATAGTATTTAACTTTGATTTAAATGAAATGTTTTTCTAAACAGCTGGCCTAAATAAAAAATATATTTTTCAAAGATGGAAAGTAAATTAAGATTGTGTTATGTCTCTTAAATTTTAGTGCTAACGTTTTCTTGGTTATTCTATTCTTAAAGTTCTCTAAGTGCAAATAAATATTTTGTTAAAAGTCTCAAAATCTTCAGCAGTTATATTTTAATGAGAATTATACTAAAGTTAGTTACACTATACACTGTTATTAATTAGTTATATTATTGTGTTAATTACATTATTTCCATGACCATTCTTTGGTACTCAAAAAGAGACTTAGTTTGTTTTATTTTATTAGGTAACAAAATTTTAAAATTTAAACATGATTCTGTAAAAATGTAATTTACGGAATCGTGTGTCTGAAGGAGTTATTTTTTTATTTTTGTGTTTTATTTTTCATTTAAAATAGTTGATATAAATACATTTTTTTGACAAAATCTGCTGAAATAGTGCAAAATAAGTTTTAATTGAGTGTCACTTAAAATGAATCAACTTTTCAAAGACTACACTGATTTCAGGAACTGTTCTTGCTAAATAAGTTGGCAGGTTACATTCAGTCCTACTTGTTAAATTTATAAACGTTGTACAGTGCATCAAAAAGAGAAGGGAAAAAAAAAAAAAAAAAAAAAAGAAATGAAATAATTAAGGCNAAAAAAAAAAAAAAAAAAAAAAAAAACTGACCATCCTGCATGATTTTTGATCTAACGATCCGGAATCACGTTCTAGGACTCAATCTTAATGGTTCAAGGGGGTCATCTCAAATATGCTAATTTGTTAGTTCAGACGATTTTTTAAGTTATGAAATTAAGCACAAAACCATACTTTCTCTGAATAATTTTTTCGAATGATTAAGATTTCAGAAACCCAAAATATAGAGGGTATCCGCTGTTTGGTCAGGAGACTAGTTCAAAATTTGA